AAACTGCTGCTCTGTCTAAAAGAGGAAAACAACTTTAGCTTCTTCTAGTTAGTGCCAATTTATAGTCAGTGTCAATTTATTTCATATATTGTTATCCTGGTGCGAGCCAAAACACAACTTCTTACAACAAACCTGCTAACAGGGACATGTGAAGGAGTAATAGAAATTTATTTTCAAGTTAGTTGCAGAGTAAGTAGCAGATTACCAAAATTCCCTTTAAAATTAACAAAAAATTGGTTCAAACCAATGTATTAAATCATTAGCATAGTCAGAGTTAATAGATATTGAAATGAATATTTAAAACTTTTTAAACCCGTTGTATAGAAGGTATTAATAGACATCGTTTCCTCCATAGGGAAAAAAAACGTTTTGAAAGCAATTCTTGTAAAAGAGCTGAAAAAGTATCAGGTTTGCTAAGAAGAAGAGTTTAATTTAGAATGACTTTTTAAAAGTTACTGTTCCACCTCTACTTCCCCTATAGTAGAAGTTTATCCCACCCATGGCACCTGCTTCATAGATGTGGCTATTAATTATTAATTACTGACAGGCAATTATAGAGGACCTATTTTTCATTTGAATGTAAAGTCATTAGTATCATTCAGCAACTCATTCCGGTGGTGAGAGTTCATCGGCCACTGTCATGCTGCTTTTACCACTCTTGCTGGTTTTTCCTTCTTTGTTAGGATTGTTGTTTGCCACACAAAACAGCGCTCTCTATCGATATCCAACAGGCCGTGCTTCGTTTGGTAAATTCGAGTGCGACCCTTTCTACTTCTCATGGGCAGAGAAACTTACATCATTCATGGTGGAAGATAAGTTGGACTGCACTTTCCTTTGTGTTGGTGAACCAAAGTGCTATTCGTTCAACATAGCAGTGTATCCTGACTCCAAAGGTCTTTATCTGTGTGAGTTATTGGCCACAGACAAGTACAGAGAGGCTGAAAAGGTTCGTGCAAATGCTACCTTCCATCACTGCAGTCCGTTGGTAAGATCTCTTCATATATTTGGTGCTTAACACTCTTCGTATTTCTTTAAATACAAACTGAATGGTTCAAGGAATGTTTACTTTGTTTCTAGTCTCAATGTGAAAGCGCTCCTTGTAAGAACGGTGGTGTCTGTGTTCCTGAATATGAAAGGAACTCCTATCACTGTGATTGTCAGCCTGGATACAGTGGAACTCACTGCAAACGTGGAGGTATTCAATTCACTTTTTTCTCTTCGAAATGAGAGGTACAAACTCTAAAGTAGAAGTCATACGAAGTAGAAGTCATACGGTCGTCGTTAATTATATCTAAATGTCATTGAAAACTTTGTGCAACTGCTTCCATCTACATGTATAGTGTCCTCCAACATTTTTCCAATGTGAAAGGTGATGAAAAGTTCGACCTAAGTCGGCCGGTTTCTTCTTCGTATCCATGGAAATAAAACTTTTGAGAGATCAAATTATATAATCTCTCAAATGGCTTCTCACGACATCACTTCTCTTTTTCGGCAAGAGCAGGGATAATCATTTGGGAAATAGTCTTTTTTTCGTGTCTTTTTGTTTTTCAGGAAAACGAACCTGCAGTGACATCAAACAATCCTACCCTGGGACTCCAAGTGACTCTTACGTCATCGATCCTGATGGAGAGGGCGGAGTGAAACCTTTTAAAGTCTATTGTGACATGACTGACAAGGACGGGATAGGAGTGACAGTTGTCAGTCACGACAGTGAAAGCAGAATGCTGGTGAATGGATTTGGTGACCGAGGCCTCTATTCTCGCTCCATCAACTACACGGAGGCTGATATGGCTCAACTTGCGAACCTAACAGCTTCATCAGCTCACTGTGAGCAGTTTGTAAAGTACGAGTGCTACGGCTCAGTGCTCCTCTACAATGGTAATATGTTCGGCTGGTGGGTGTCACGTGATGGAGAGAAGATGAAGTACTGGGGAGGAGTTGATTCTGTTGATTATAAATGCGCATGCGGCTTGAATAATACATGTGCAAACGTTAACTACGGATGCAACTGCGACAAAAATGACCTCACATGGCGAGAGGACAGCGGCTTCCTTACAGACAAGACAAAGCTTCCCGTGAAGCAACTGAGGTTTGGAGATACTCGTTCTGTTATTGAAAAGGGAAACCACACCCTTGGAAAGCTCAAGTGTTTTGGACTCATTTAAAAAAAACTGAAAAGTGCACTTTAACTATATACCCGCTATTTGCTGACTCACCTCATCTATCGCTGTAAACTCTAATGCTTTACATTTGTAAAAGCGGTTTGCAAATTTTCGCAAAGGAAATCGATGGATACATTTGAGTAGGAAAGTGAAAAGAAAACCTAGTTTTAACATATATTGCGTTCTTAATAAAATTAAGCATAACTTTAAGCGTTGAAGGCCCATTTTTACTGCTTGTAGTTTTGAAACGGAGGTTGTCAATGGTGTGGAAGGGATCTGTTAATACAATAAAACACACAAAGTGAAATCAAAGGAAAAGCCTGATCATCAGTAACGGATTTATGTAATATCGCAGTAGATCGCGAATTCACAAACCAGTGCCGTTTGCCTTGTCAGTCTCCTAACCTTCTGCCAGTTGTAGTTTTCAACAAACTCAGGGATCAAGATTTTTCTGCCTGAGAAACTCGTTGGAACAGAATCCCTTTGTTTAAAGTAAGCAAATTAAGTGAATTGCGCCAAGAAATAATTCGAATTCCCTATTCTAACTAAACCGCCGCTGAGCTCTCGGTCACTCTCCTGAGAATTTCAATAAACGAAAATCAAAATACTATCAAAACAAATATAAAACGTCATTAAAAAGACTGGCCATAAAATAATACAGGTGGTAAAAAATGAATCGTTTATAATTTAACTTCCTGCATGAATGAAGAAAGCATAGCTTTTCGTTTTATTTGCATTAAAAATACACCGGTAATTCTGTGGAAAACAATTCACGAAGTTACGTAATCCGAAATACAAAGTGAATTGAGTTTATATCTTGTATCCGTGTTTATATTCGAATATATTTTGAATTACATTCTCGCAAATATTTATTCCATTCAGCCTTTCTATTTATTTTTAGAGGTGAAACATATCTCTTAACTGGAAGGCAAAACTGAAACCAAAGTTAAGAATGAAAAATTACTCTCTTTTTCGTGTTTTTAAATTAAACAAAACATTCTACACTTTAGACTAGATATTAACAAAACAGCTTTGGTGGAAACCTTGCACTTTGTCAATTATCGTATTTAGCAGTATGCTTCGTGCGTTTGCATTGCAAATTTTCGTTGTTACATACAGATATAGAGGATATTACTTGGCCGCTTGGGGATACGAATTTTATCTTCGAGTGCTGAAAGTATCTCTCATTCATTATCTCTCAAGTGAGCGAAGCTCATTCGTGAGAGATACTTTCAGCACTCTAAGATAAAATTCGTATCCCTAAGCGGCCATGTAATGTTCTTTTTATTTTATAGATACTGATGAAATTCCTACATAAAAGACAACTTTTTTTTATTTCAAAAGAACCGACCGCGCGCCTAAATGGGAAGCTCTCTTGTAATTGGCTAATCATGTTAGTAACCATGGCGACACCAATATCCTCACACGTGAAAGATAAAGACGGTATCTTCACTGCGCGCGATGAAGATTTAATTTTTTACTAAAAGGAAAATCGTGGAATTTCATCAGTATCTATATAATAAATAGAGGATATTCACACGGCCGCGCTTGGATACGAATGCTATCTTTTGGTGTAAATGACAACTCTCACGAGTAAATTAGGAGAACAAGGAAGAGATGTAACAAATAAAAGGGACCACGTTGCATTTGTATCGAAAGTGAACATATAATTTTTGGTTGATTATGTAGATAAAGATTACTATTTAAATCGAAGACAGTTTCCTCATTCATTTGTAAGAGCACCGAATGCAGAATCACTCGTGCGTTACTTACCTCGTCGAAAAGCTACATAAAAACTCAAAATGACAAATATTTTCTTTAAGTGAAATTCAACCTTGGTAATGTTTAATATACAAGAAATAGATAACACTTCGTTGCAGTTAGAACCGCCATTTCGAAAAATCCGGTTACGTTTGAAGAATCAATGGTACCTTCACTACGCCCGTCGCAGATATGTTTTCAAAGCAAGATCTTTGCAATCTTATTAGGATCTGTGAAATCTCTTTCTCGGGCACGTTCGTATTCTTTAAAAATTGGATTTCCTTTCAAGCAGTGGGCTTTTGAATTTCAGCCGAGATACTACTCATTCGACTAACTGCATGCAAAGTAACGGCGACAAAAACGACCTTTCTTCTTTCAATCGAAAATGTTCTCATTCTAAAACAACTCTCCCAGATTTTGAAATGTGCATGTTAAAACTGTGTCTAGTCGAAAAGATGGCCATCCTTTAATTTTTAAAAAATTAAAATTGAATAAAAATTGAATAAATAAGTGTTTTCACATGCCAATGGCATTTATTCTTAAAGCATTTACAGTAGAACCCGTATTTAGGCGTGGTGACCGCTAAATACAACTTGACCGCTCGATACAGGTTCCACAAAAGGGAAAATTTAAGGGAACCGATAAATATCGCTATTTAATGTCATGAATGACCATTTAATGTATTTATGAGCGACCGCTCATAGAGGTGACCGCTAAGTAGAGATGAAAATTACAGTAAATGGGGGGTAACAATTTCGGGGCTCTGACAACCGACCGCTTAAAACAGAGTGACCGCTTAATTCAGGTTCAAATGTAATATGTAACCCTAACCCTAAGATCATACAAAAAACATACAAGTTTCTCATGAACCACTTCTCATGTGATAACATTCAGTCTTTATCCGGAAAGGCATTGAACTCATCGCTGAAGTAAGTAAAATTGTGCAATTGTTCTAGGAAATATAACCGGTTTGACGTCACGGAGACATACGTATCGCACACAATTAAGAGTACCCACAAGCCTCCACCCCGCACCCAAGACACTGAAAACAAATTAAAAATACATGTGTTCCATCAATAATCTTATACAATACTTAGAGTTTTATTGATATATACAATGCTTACTTCGCCTCTTCACATAAGCTACCGCGATGTTTTCGACTAACAACAGAAGATTACGTTTGCTATAATTTAGACACTTCAATTTGCTTAATGGAAAGATAACCTCTTGCTGTGTGTTCTTTAGTTTGCAGTTCTGTAGATCCTTCTTATTTTCTTTTCATTTTTGTTTTATTGTTTTCTGTAGTTGTATTTTTTTAGCTAACGGACCTAGGTAAATTTTGACCTTTTCTGCCTTTGAATTTGAGTTCAATTGAGTCAACAAAATTTTCATGCGCAAACTTCCCAGCCAGACGAATCGTATCAATGCTGAGCACCAATTTGACAAGTCGAACAATCGAGCCATGAGTTCTGGTAAATCTCAGTAAGGGCATTCGAGGAGTTCCGTTTCTTCTTGACGGACGCTATTGAACACCCTGACGCGAGGTCGGATTCCAATACCTTGCGTTGCATAGCAACGTTGCGAAATAAAGCCGCAGGCTCATTCAGTTGTCAGACTTTTCGTTGTCACGTGTGATCTTGGTCTCGGTGTCCCACAGTCAAGGACTGGCACTACGAACTGTTGTTTTTGTGTGTTAACGCACTCCTTCCATGAAAGTTGCGTCAAGATGCCGAATAAGAGTTCTCATAAAAGTCATCTCTTTTCGCGTATTTTCAAAAATTTCCTTGGGATCGTCAGAGGGACAACGAAGGCAGTTTGGCGCCCAAACCATGGCCAAGTTATTTACGTCCATCTTTGTTATAACGCACATATGAGGGAGTGAGAAAATCTGCAAACAACAAAGGAAGCTGAAAGTTTTCCAAAATAAAATGTTTTCAACTATGCAAGTGTTAACGGTGTTAAGGATTAGGACGCCCAGCCTTCGAACTTCGAAATTCGAATTAAAAAAAAAAACCCAACAAGTGAAAACAAAGAGACTCCATGTATGCAGCAGCGCTACAGTCGTGGTCTCGATCGTTTGTCACCCTTGATCACAGAGCACCCGATAAATTAGCTTATTTCCCAAATAAGAGGAGAGTACAATTCTTTCCCGACATTTTGCTCGGTAAATGATCTTAGGTAATAACTTAACTATTGTGCACAGCGGTTAGCAAATCAGCGTAAATTAACCAAAGAGAATAGTGAGTCTAGAGAGGCTCTATACATGCGTACCTGTAAAAATCTAATGAGATACGAGAGGACGAGTCTGTTGACTTCAGGAAGAGACATCGCAAGTGCCACAGCCACTGTAGCGTCATCACAGTTGTTAACGCACCTTTCAGTAGGAACGAGTCAAGGAAACATGACGTGCAACAGGCATTAATAATAAATGTATATCGCCTTGTTCAAGACCACAATATAATTAATAAAAAGGCGTAAGTTTCTAAAGAAACTTTAGTGCTGTGTCGGTGTGAGTGTAAGGTAATTTAACTTTGTCACTTGAGTTGATAACATAAATTGGCCGCCGTTAAGAGTTTCAAAGCTAACCTATTGAGCATTAATCCTTCAGTTTCGCTCTGACAAAGGGCTAACCCTCGAAATGTCAGCTTTGAAACTCTTAACGGCGGCCAATTTACATTATCAACTCATTCGATAATACAATTACCCCACAATACAATAACCCATGGCTAGCCAAAGCTCGAACCCAGATCTCTCGATTCAATGTCCAGCGTGCTACTTCCCACGTGACCACAATCACTGTTGGTGCATCAGACTAAAGACTCAGCGCACTTAACACTGCGAAATTAATTTCATTTCAAAGGATATTAAAACAGTTCCGGTATAAGAGGTTCGTGAAGCTCCCTGAACCAAAGTTTCAGAAGTGACGCAGGTACATGGGGATCTGTAATTCCAGTGGGAGCCTCCCATTTGTCAAGCCTGATTTTCTGGGAGTTTACTTCGTCGATGTCTCCAGGAACCCTGTGAAGACAAAGAAAAACGGTCACCTAGTTGGTGTTGTTCACGCCACTCTCTGTTCTCGTGCGCGCTGTTTATTTCATTATTTGTCAATTTAAAATACAACTTTCTTAAGTTAGGACTAAGATGTAAACGGGTTCCCATTTGAAAGAAGCCCATATAACGCTTACGAAACCGACACTATTGTTGTAGCATGCGTAGCAGCCATTTCGTTTCCTTTTATCCAAGCGTGAGAAGCGAGAACGGAGCGTGTGCTGCGAAGCGACAAGGTTTCCTTTCTACTCCTCCCATATGCTCGTAGCCTTTTTGGGTCGCTTTCGCCTCACGGTATCGAGCAGCTCCCGCTCCGCTAACACTTCTCCTGCTCGGAGAAACAAAAAGACCTGCTGCACAGGCTCTGTGGTTGACCCTTTGAGAAAATGAAGGCGAAGACCTCCAACAAAATCGACAACTAAGTGGGTCAAATGAAGCCAAAAAAACAAGGATACTGTTTTTCCTATTTCTTACTTTCTACCTTACCTGAAAATACCTTCCGTTGAAGCACCTTGGTGCTCCAGCACCGACTCAGCCAAGGTTGGTAAAATCCACAGCAGTTTAAGTGAAGGGAAACGCTCGGCCTGCGCCTCCATGATGTCCTCAAGGGTGGCACCAAACATGGATGGGTGGAACACGGAGGACTGGGAATAAAAACAAAAAACAAAAAAAACAAATAAAATACATATAAAAGAAATTTTCTTTTAAAAAGTGAATGATGGGTTACGAATTAGTTTTCAGAGCCAAGACAAGACAAGACATCTAGAAAGCCTAAAGGATACAGAAGATGATGACGAAGAAACAAAAGGGCTTTCACTTTGGTGACTGAGCTCTGAAGCGCTATGAGTCAGGATCAATTCGCTGCTGGTCTTCATCCAACGATCAAAATGTGACTTATTTCACGTATACATCCTTCGTTTTATGTTTTGTATTTGTTTTTTCCTCTTTTTTTCTTGCTTTTCTCTGCGATTTTTTCAATACAGACTAGGAGGCTTAGTGAGTCCCACAAAAAGATATAAACGAATACCTCTCTCCCTCTCCCTCCGAAAGAAAACGTCCGTCTTTATTTGCAATTCAGCTTTGTAGTTGTTGTTTCTAACGCTTCCGCTTGTAAACTCTCATCGGTTCAAGTAATCCCTATAACTAGTAAGGTTGTTTTCTTAAAGGCTAGGACCACCACAATGTAATACGCGATGCTTTGACCCAAGAATTATTTCAGAATGCTTAAAACTTCTTGTGCCAGCCAACATGTGGTCAGCAGTAACGGTTGCTGGCTACAGGAAGTCAAACAGCCTCGATGCAAAGTGAGCTGAGTTAAAATATTCTGCTCTTCTTCATAAATGGGTTTATTCAGCGTATTTTGTTGGATTCAAATAAGGGTGAAAGTTTGCAACCATGATCCTTTGGATCTTTTATTTAAGATTTTCTCGCCAGAATAACTTCCGGCTTGGTCATTTCCACTTTTCTGTGGTAAACAAATTTTTTCATCATCAAATTACTTCATATATATATCGACGAATTGGAAGTAGGTTTGCCGGTTTTTACTGCAGGGAACTGCTTAAACGTCTCTTGGAATTCTCAAACGCGGTAAAAGAGCAATGTTGATTAATCAAAACCAAATGAATTTTGATATACAAGTATCACTATAGCAAGTATATATTAAAAGTTAATGACCTGTATTTGAGTCTTAAATGAGTCCAAAGCACTTGAGCTGTCCAACATGTATGACATTCGGTTACAATTTTGGGCAAATACTTTTAACCACACATTATTAATTTCTCCATTTTTCTCACTACATTACAATCAAATTACCAATTCATTACATTTCTCTTAACTATCATGGACCTCCATCCTAACTCAGTTCTGCAAAGAGAGTACAGTGTTCAAGCAATCTTTTTGATGTTCAACATATAGTCTTGGTGACCTCTCGGTAATTAAGTCCATAACACTCCAGTTTTCCAAGCGTGTGATTTCCTTTTCATCGTCATCGCAAGGAGACCGGTATCTCCAAACCTCATTTGAATTACGTGAGGCTTGGACTTGTTTGTTAGTAAACCGCTGTCCTCTCGCCAATTCCAATCGTTCTTATCGCAGTTGAAGCCGTGACTGGTGGCCGCGCACGTGTTGTCCAACCCACATGCACATTTGAATGGAGCAGAGTCGACTCCACCCCAATACTTCATCTTCTCGTCATCACGTGATACCCACCAGCCGGACGTGCCACCATTGTGAAAGAGCATTGAATGATAGCACTGTATTTAATAAACTGCTCACAGTGAGTAAATTTAATACCTCCACGTTTACAGTGAGTTCCACTGAATCCAGGCTGACAATCACAGTGATAGGAGTTCCTTTCATATTTAGGAACACAGACACCACCGTTCTTGCAGGGAAAGCTTCATTTTCATATAGAGACTGAGAAGAAAGTAAACATCTCAATTAAAAATATTTATTCTGCATCCAGAAAAATTGAAATCTGTAAACTTCCAGATATGAAAGATGTCTTACCATTGCTCTGTAATGATGGAAGGTTACATTTGCATTAAACTTTTCAGTTTCTCTGTATTTGACTGTGGCTAACAGCTCACACAGATAAACACCTTTGGAGTCAGGATACGCTGCCATGTTAAACGAATAGCAATTTGGTTCACGAACACAAAGAAAACCGCGTAAAAATTATGCGCCCTATTCCAGTAAAAGAATACATTTTCTTAAAACTAAATTAACAGTGATATGCTATTATACGCCGCGACGTTTTACAAGATAAGTTTATTAGACGGCGCATTTTAACCAACACGTTTCTTTTATGTCGGAACCGTTTGAGAAAGTTTCTTTGTCTTGGAGTATGTTGACGTGTTTTCACCAATTTAACTTCCTGTAGCAATAACCGTCGCTCTTGCAATAACTATCGCACTTTATAAGAACACTTGCCGCACTTTTTAAAAAAATATATATGAAATAAAGCACTTTGCAATAAACTGTTGTGCAAAATTTCTAAACCTATTGATTTATGAGAGTATTCTGATGAATTAGCCATACATTTTTTGGCGATGATATTTACTTAGGCGTTCGGATAAAAACATGTTTTTTCGTTTTTAGTTTATGCAATTTCTCCTTTCGATTATCTTAATTTCAAAGATGAGGCGCGTTCGGAATGAGGGATAAAAAGCAAGGCATAAAAATATAACATCATTACATCAACTTTTCTAAACATGATACATAAAGTGTCAAAATATCTGAATATTCGCCAAAGTGACGACTTCTTTATCGTATAACAGTGGAATGAATTAATTACTTGTTCCTGTTATCGCACTAGCATCTCTGGAATACAAGGCTGCAAAACGTTAATTTCAGTGTCAATAATGTTCCAGTTTTCTGAATTCGCTGATTAAAATAAGTTACTTATCAGTTCTAAATTGCTATCCCTGACAAAACCCCCATTGTTCGTTCTCTCTCTAATGTATTTCCTGCCGACAACGTGTTGTTTGTTGTTATTATAGTACACTAAAATAGACGGTTTTTTTGTATCTCAGGCCGATACAAGTCGAGGACTATTTGTTTTTATTCTAGTCATGCAAAACAGGTGTAATTTAACGCTGCTTTACAGGCTTTGTTCAAAGTGCACCTAAAGTTATCCTAAGCGAGTAATCTGACCATTTCTCCTAAGTGAAATGTTATTTTGTGCTAATGCTGTAACATGTTCAATAAACAACCTTCGCAAATATAACTTGTGCAATGTTTGTATTTAAAACCAGTATCTTGTTTAATTGAAAATGCTAATATACAGAGAAGAAACGACTGACACTTTTTGCAAAGAAAATACATAATCGAGGCTCGTGTGTTTTCCGATCCACGTAAAGGATTTCCTAACATTTTCAAGACATGACTTCAATAAATTTCTTCGATTTATTTTTGCTGAACTTGTTACAATTTAAAATGATTATTGTTTATCAATTAGATAAGCTCCTTTTAAGTCACGAAGAGGAAATCTGCCCAGTATCTGCCTGTTATCAGAGAATCCATTTGGTAAACACTAACTGCGGGAGGTAATGAAAGATTAATTTGATATTTGGTGTTTTTAATTTTGCCCAAAAAAGAAAAAATTAAAAATTAGAAAGAATTATTTTCTCTTTCACAAAAAGTCTTCTAAGAGGAAAGTGTCTAGGCATAGTAAAATAATAAAATATTAAATAAACAGCTGCTCTGTCTAAAAGAGGAAAACAACTGTAGCTTCTTCTAGTTAGTGCCAATTTATAGTCAGTGTCAATTTATTTCATATATTGTTATCCTGGTGCGAGCCAAAACACAACTTCTTACAACAAACCTGCTAACAGGGACATGTGAAGGAGTAATAGAAATTTATTTTCAAGTTAGTTGCAGAGTAAGAAGCAGATTACCAAAATTCCCTTTAAAATTAACAAAAAATTGGTTCAAACCAATGCAATAAATCATTAGCATGGTCAGGGTTAATAGATATTGAAATGAATATTTAAAACTTTTTAAACCGGTTGTATAGAAGGTATTAATAGACATCGTTTCCTCCATAGGGAAAAAAACGTTTTGAAAGCAATTCTTGTAAAAGAGCTGAAAAAGTATCAGGTTTGCTAAGAAGAAGAGTTTAATTTAGAATGACTTTTTAAAAGTTACTGTTCCACCTCTACTTCCCCTATAGTAGAAGTTTATCCCACCCATGGCACCTGCTTCATAGATGTGGCTATTAATTATTAATTACTGACAGGCAATTATAGAGGACCTATTTTTCATTTGAATGTAAAGTCATTAGTATCATTCAGCAACTCATTCCGGTGGTGAGAGTTCATCGGCCACTGTCATGCTGCTTTTACCACTCTTGCTGGTTTTTCCTTCTTTGTTAGGATTGTTGTTTGCCACACAAAACAGCGCTCTCTATCGATATCCAACAGGCCGTGCTTCGTTTGGTAAATTCGAGTGCGACCCTTTCTACTTCTCATGGGCAGAGAAACTTACATCATTCATGGTGGAAGATAAGTTGGACTGCACTTTCCTTTGTGTTGGTGAACCAAAGTGCTATTCGTTCAACATAGCAGTGTATCCTGACTCCAAAGGTCTTTATCTGTGTGAGTTATTGGCCACAGACAAGTACAGAGAGGCTGAAAAGGTTCGTGCAAATGCTACCTTCCATCACTGCAGTCCGTTGGTAAGATCTCTTCATATATTTGGTGCTTAACACTCTTCGTATTTCTTTAAATACAAACTAAATGGTTCAAGGAATGTTTATTTTGTTTCTAGTCTCAATGTAAAAGCGCTCCTTGTAAGAACGGTGGTGTCTGTGTTCCTGAATATGAAAGGAACTCCTATCACTGTGATTGTCAGCCTGGATACAGTGGAACTCACTGCAAACGTGGAGGTATTCAATTCACTTTTTTATCTTCGAAATGAGAGGTACAAACTCTAAAGTAGAAGTCATACGAAGTAGAAGTCATACGGTCGTCGTTAATTATATCTAAATGTCATTGAAAACTTTGTGCAACTGCTTCCATCTACATGTATAGTGTCCTCCAACATTTTTCCAATGTGAAAGGTGATGAAAAGTTCGACCTAAGTCGGCTGGTTTCTTCTTCATATCCATGGAAATAAAACTTTTGAGAGATCAAATTATATAATCTCTCAAATGGCTTCTCACGACATCACTTCTCTTTTTCGGCAAGAGCAGGGATAATCATTTGGGAAATAGTCTTTTTTTCGTGTCTTTTTGTTTTTCAGGAAATCGAACCTGCAGTGACATCAAACAATCCTACCCTGGGACTCCAAGTGACTCTTACGTCATCGATCCTGATGGAGAGGGCGGAGTGAAACCTTTTAAAGTCTATTGTGACATGACTAACAAGGGCGGGATAGGAGTGACAGTTGTCAGTCACGACAGTGAAAGCAGAATGCTGGTGGATGGATTTGGTGGCCGAGGCCTCTATTCTCGCTCCATCAACTACACGGAGGCTGATATGGCTCAACTTGCGAACCTAACAGCTTCATCAGCTCACTGTGAGCAGTTTATAAAGTACGAGTGCTACGACTCAGTGCTCCTCTACAATGGTAATATGTACGGCTGGTGGGTGTCACGTGATGGAGAGAAGATGAAGTACTGGGGAGGAGTTGATTCTGTTGATTATAAATGCGCATGCGGCTTGAATAATACATGTGCAAACGTTAACTACGGATGCAACTGCGACAAAAATGACAACACATGGCGAGAGGACAGCGGCTTCCTTACAGACAAGACAAAGCTTCCCGTGAAGCAACTGAGGTTTGGAGATACTTATCATCATTTTGAAAAGGGATACCACACCCTTGGAAAGCTCAAGTGTTTTGGACTCATTTAAAAAAAACTGAAAAGTGCACTTTAACTATATACCCGCTATTTGCTGACTCGCCTCATCTATCGCTGTAAACTCTAATGCTTTACATTTGTAAAAGCGGTTTGCAAATTTTCGCAAAGGAAATCGATGGATACATTTGAGTAGGAAAGTGAAAAGAAAACCTAGTTTTAACATATATTGCGTTCTTAATAAAATTAAGCATAACTTTAGGCGTTGAAGGCCCATTTTTACTGCTTGTAGTTTTGAAACGGAGGTTGTCAATGGTGTGGAAGGGATCTGTTAATACAATAAAACACACAAAGTGAAATCAAAGGAAAAGCCTGATCATCAGTAACGGATTTATGTAATATCGCAGTAGATCGCGAATTCACAAACCAGTGCCGTTTGCCTTGTCAGTCTCCTAACCTTCTGCCAGTTGTAGTTTTCAACAAACTCAGGGATCAAGATTTTTCTGCCTGAGAAACTCGTTGGAACAGAATCCCTTTGTTTAAAGTAAGCAAATTAAGTGAATTGCGCCAAGAAATAATTCGAATTCCCTATTCTAACTAAACCGCCGCTGAGCTCTCGGTCACTCTCCTGAGAATTTCAATAAACGAAAATCAAAATACTATCAAAACAAATATAAAACGTCATTAAAAAGACTGGCCATAAAATAATACAGGTGGTAAAAAATGAATCGTTTATAATTTAACTTCCTGCATGAATGAAGAAAGCATAGCTTTTCGTTTTATTTGCATTAAAAATACACCGGTAATTCTGTGGAAAACAATTCACGAAGTTACGTAATCCGAAATACAAAGTGAATTGAGTTTATATCTTGTATCCGTGTTTATATTCGAATATATTTTGAATTACATTCTCGCAAATATTTATTCCATTCAGCCTTTCTATTTGTTTTTAGAGGTGAAACATATCTCTTAACTGGAAGGCAAAACTGAAACCAAAGTTAAGAATGAAAAATTACTCTCTTTTTCGTGTTTTTAAATTAAACAAAACATTCTACACTTTAGACTAGATATTAACAAAACAGCTTTGGTGGAAACCTTGCACTTTGTCAATTATCGTATTTAGCAGTATGCTTCGTGCGTTTGCATTGCAAATTTTCGTTGTTACATACAGATATAGAGGATATTACATGGCCGCTTGGGGATACGAATTTTATCTTCGAGTGCTGAAAGTATCTCTCATTCATTATCTCTCAAGTGAGCGAAGCTCATTCGTGAGAGATACTTTCAGCACTCTAAGATAAAATTCGTATCCCTAAGCGGCCATGTAATGTTCTTTTTATTTTATAGATACTGATGAAATTCCTACATAAAAGACAACTTTTTTTATTTCAAAAGAACCGACCGCGCGCCTAAATGGGAAGCTCTCTTGTAATTGGCTAATCATGTTAGTAACCATGGCGACACCAATATCCTCACACGTGAAAGATAAAGACGGTATCTTCACTGCGCGCGATGAAGATTTAATTTTTTACTAAAAGGAAAATCGTGGAATTTCATCAGTATCTATATAATAAATAGAGGATATCACACGGCCGCGCTTGGATACGAATGCTATCTTTTGGTGTAAATGACAACTCTCACGAGTAAATTAGGAGAACAAGGAAGAGATGTAACAAATAAAAGGGACCACGTTGCATTTGTATCGAAAGTGAACATATAATTTTTGGTTGATTATGTAGATAAAGATTACTATTTAAATCGAAGACAGTTTCCTCATTCATTTGTAAGAGCACCGAATGCAGAATCACTCGCGCGTTACTTACCTCGTCGAAAAGCTACATAAAAACTCAAAATGACAAATATTTTCTTAAAGTGAAATTCAACCTTGGTAATGTTTAATATACAAGAAATAGATAACACTTCGTTGCAGTTAGAACCGTCATTTCGACAAATCCGGTTACGTTTGAAGAATCAATGGTACCTTCACTACGCCCGTCGCAGATATGTTTTCAAAGCAAGATCTTTGCAATCTTATTAGGATCTGTGAAATCTCTTTCTCGGGCACGTTCGTATTATTTAAAAATTGGATTTCCTTTCAAGCAGTGGGCTTTTGAATTTCAGCCGAGATACTACTCATTCGACTAACTGCATGCAAAGTAACGGCGACAAAAACGACCTTTCTTCTTTCAATCGAAAATGTCCTCATTCTAAAACAACTCTCCCAGATTTTGAAATGTGCATGTTAAAACTGTGTCTAGTCGAAAAGATGGCCATCCTTTAATTTTTAAAATTGAATAAATAAGTGTTTTCACATGCCAATGGCATTTATTCTTAAAGCATTTACAGTAGAACCCGTATTTAGGCGTGGTGACCGCTAAATACAACTTGACCGCTCGATACAGGTTCCACAAAAGGGAAAATTTAAGGGAACCGATAAATATCGCTATTTAATGTCATGAATGACCATTTAATGTATTTATGAGCGACCGCTCATAGAGGTGACCGCTAAGTAGAGATGAAAATTACAGTAAATGGGGGGTAACAATTTCGGGGCTCTGACAACCGACCGCTTAAAACAGAGTGACCGCTTAATTCAGGTTCAAATGTAATATGTAACCCTAACCCTAAGATCATACAAAAAACATACAAGTTTCTCATGAACCACTTCTCATGTGATAACATTCAGTGTTTATCCGGAAAGGCATTGAACTCATCGCTGAAGTAAGTAAAATTGTGCAATTGTTCTAGGAAATATAACCGGTTTGACGTCACGGAGACATACGTATCGCACACAATTAAGAGTACCCACAAGCCTCCACACCCCGCACCCAAGACACTGAAAACAAATTAAAAATACATGTGTTCCATCAATAATCTTATACAATACTTAGAGTTTTATTGATATATACAATGCTTACTTCGCCTCTTCACATAAGCTACCGCGATGTTTTCGACTAACAACAGAAGATTACGTTTGCTATAATTTAGACACTTCAATTTGCTTAATGGAAAGATAACCTCTTGCTGTGTGTTCTTTAGTTTGCAGTTCTGTAGATCCTTCTTATTTTCTTTTCATTTTTGTTTTATTGTTTTCTGTAGTTGTATTTTTTTAGCTAACGGACCTAGGTAAATTTTGACCTTTTCTGCCTTTGAATTTGAGTTCAATTGAGTCAACAAAATTTTCATGCGCAAACTTCCCAGCCAGACGAATCGTATCAATGCTGAGCACCAGTTTGACAAGTCGAACAATCGAGCCATGAGTTCTGGTAAATCTCAGTAAGGGCATTCGAGGAGTTCCGTTTCTTCTTGACGGACGCTATTGAACACCCTGACGCGAGGTCGGATTCCAATACCTTGCGTTGCATAGCAACGTTGCGAAATAAAGCCGCAGGCTCATTCAGTTGTCAGACTTTTCGTTGTCACGTGTGATCTTGGTCTCGGTGTCCCACAGTCAAGGACTGGCACTACGAACTGTTGTTTTTGTGTGTTAACGCACTCCTTCCATGAAAGTTGCGTCAAGATGCCGAATAAGAGTTCTCATAAAAGTCATCTCTTTTCGCGTATTTTCAAAAATTTCCTTGGGATCGTCAGAGGGACAACGAAGGCAGTTTGGCGCCCAAACCATGGCCAAGTTATTTACGTCCATCTTTGTTATAACGCACATATGAGGGAGTGAGAAAATCTGCAAACAACAAAGGAAGCTGAAAGTTTTCCAAAATAAAATGTTTTCAACTATGCAAGTGTTAACGGTGTTAAGGATTAGGACGCCCAGCCTTCGAACTTCGAAATTCGAATTAAAAAAAAAAAAACCCAACAAGTGAAAACAGAGACTCCATGTATGCAGCAGCGCTACAGTCGTGGTCTCGATCGTTTGTCACCCTTGATCACAGAGCACCCGATAAATTACCTTATTTCCCAAATAAGAGGAGAGTACAATTCTTTCCCCACACTTTGCTCGGTAAATGATCTTAGGTAATAACTTAACTATTATGCACAGCGGTTAGCAAATCAGCGTAAATTAACCAAAGAGAATAGTGAGTCTAGAGAGGCTCTATACATGCGTACCTGTAAAAATCTAATGAGATACGAGAGGACGAGTCTGTTGACTTCAGGAAGAGACATCGCAAGTGCCACAGCCACTGTAGCGTCATCACAGTTGTTAACGCACCTTTCAGTAGGAACGAGTCAAGGAAACATGACGTGCAACAGGCATTAATAATAAATGTATAACGCCTTGTTCAAGACCACAATATAATTAATAAAAAGGCGTAAGTTTCTAAAGAAACTTTAGTGCTGTGTCGGTGTGAGTGTAAGGTAATTTAACTTTGTCACTTGAGTTGATAACATAAATTGGCCGCCGTTAAGAGTTTCAAAGCTAACCTATTGAGCATTAATCCTTCAGTTTCGCTCTGACAAAGGGCTAACCCTCGAAATGTCAGCTTTGAAACTCTTAACGGCGGCCAATTTACATTATCAACTCATTCGATAATACAATTACCCCACAATACAATAACCCATGGCTAGCCAAAGCTCGAACCCAGATCTCTCGATTCAATGTCCAGCGTGCTACTTCCCACGTGACCACAATCACTGTTGGTGCATCAGACTAAAGACTCAGCGCACTTAACACTGCGAAATTAATTTCATTTCAAAGGATATTAAAACAGTTCCGGTATAAGAGGTTCGTGAAGCTCCCTGAACCAAAGTTTCAGAAGTGACGCAGGTACATGGGGATCTGTAATTCCAGTGGGAGCCTCCCATTTGTCAAGCCTGATTTTCTGGGAGTTTACTTCGTCGATGTCTCCAGGAACCCTGTGAAGACAAAGAAAAACGGTCACCTAGTTGGTGTTGTTCACGCCACTCTCTGTTCTCGTGCGCGCTGTTTATTTCATTATTTGTCAATTTAAAATACAACTTTCTTAAGTTAGGACTAAGATGTAAACGGGTTCCCATTTGAAAGAAGCCCATATAACGCTTACGAAACCGACACTATTGTTGTAGCATGCGTAGCAGCCATTTCGTTTCCTTTTATCCAAGCGTGAGAAGCGAGAACAGAGCGTGTGCTGCGAAGCGACAAGGTTTCCTTCCTACTCCTCCCATATGCTCGTAGCCTTTTTGGGTCGCTTTCGCCTCACGGTATCGAGCAGCTCCCGCTCCGCTGACACTTCTCCTGCTTGGAGAAACAAAAAGACCTGCTGCACAGGCTCTGTGGTTGACCCTTTAAGAAAATGAAGGCGAAGACGTTCTACCTTACCTGAAAATACCTTCCGTTGAAGCACCTTGGTGCTCTAGCACCGACTCAGCCAAGGTTGGTAAAATCCATGGCAGTTTAAGTGAAGGGAAACGCTCGGCCTGCGCCTCCATGATGTCCTCAAGGGTGGCACCAAACATGGATGGGTGGAACACGGAGGACTGGGAATAAAAAAAAAACAAAAAAACAAATAAAATACATATAAAAGAAATTTTCTTTTAAAAAGTGAATGATGGGTTACGAATTAGTTTTCAGAGCCAAGACAAGACAAGACATCTAGAAAGCCTAAAGGATACAGAAGATGATGACGAAGAAACAAAAGGGCTTTCACTTTGGTGACTGAGCTCTGAAGCGCTATGAGTCAGGATCAATTCGCTGCTGGTCTTCATCCAACGATCAAAATGTGACTTATCTCACGTATACATCCTTCGTTTTATGTTTTGTATTTGTTTTTTCCTCTTTTTTTCTTGCTTTTCTCTGCGATTTTTTCAATACAGACTAGGAGGCTTAGTGAGTCCCACATAAAGATATAAACGAATACCTCTCTCCCTGTCCCTCCGAAAGAAAACGTCCGTCTTTTATTTGCAATTCAGCTTTGTAGTTGTTGTTTCTAACGCTTCCGCTTGTAAACTCTCATCGGTTCAAGTAATCCCTATAACTAGTAAGGTTGTTTTCTTAAAGGCTAGGACCACCACAATGTAATACGCGATGCTTTGACCCAAGAATTATTTCAGAATGCTTAAAACTTCTTGTGCCAGCCAACATGTGGTCAGCAGTAACGGTTGCTGGTTACAGGAAGTCAAACAGCCTCGATGCAAAGTGCCCACGAACGACGATGAGCTGAGTTAAAATATTCTGCTCTTCTTCATAAATGGGTTTATTTTATTCGCCGAATTACCTTCGCCTGTTGAATTTCCTCGATGCTTGGTTTCCTGAGGCCGCGCTTGGCACCAGTTCTAGCCATTCTTTTGAGTCTCACGGAGCAATGCCTGATATAGTATGTTAAAGAGATCTGAAATAAACAACATTCAGACACAACAGGAAATTTAATCAAATAATTATGGTGAACAAATGTTAACCGACTCAATGTAATTGGAGGCTGCGAAAACTGAAAAGAGAGATTTCTAATCTAACTGCCGTGGGCATGGGACGGAATAGAAAGGAAAGTAAAACTAGAGAATTGCTTAAGTTCAAACTGTCGTTAGGTTGTTTCTGTTCCAATATAAGTCAACATCACTTATATCGATACTTATTGTTGTTGTTATTGTTGATCTTTATTTGTAACTTTTCTTTTCATTTTTCTAATTTTGTTTTGTTGTGTTGTATTTTGTTTTATTATTATTATTATTATTATTTTTTTTTTTTTGGGGGGGGGTTTCAAATCTGAGGATTTCGTGAGAGGTTCAGCGGCGCTTCCGCAGAAATGAGCCAGGGAAGCTGCGAGAGGAATGGGAAGGAGTAAACTACAAAACGGGTTTTCCGTCGTTCTCACGGTATCACTTCCGTCCTTTGAACTGCCGCCTTAATTTTCACCAAATGACGGAAAAACCGCCAGCAACGCAAGCTACCGATTATTTTTCTTTTTACGAGGACTGACCTCTTTCCGTTCGATGTCCTCCAAGTTTTTATTGAGATACCCATCTAAGTAGGAGTAAAACTTAGTTGAAGGAGGAAAAAGAGCGAGACAAATTGCCATCAGCTCCCAGCCACTGCGCAAACTCTCCCTAAAAGAATGTAGACGTGAATAAATAAAATATAATAAAAGAACAAATTCTATCGACGACTTCACAACAGAACTACAACTTAAGGCGCCAACCTTAATTCGGAACTGGTTGATAGGACCACAAAATATCGTTGTAGACCAGCCACACCCAATCACACCAGTAAATTCCTACGGCATACAGTTTCCATTATAAAGATGGACGTTGGTAAAAACTTAAGTAAAAGTTTCGCAAAAAAGGCATATTCATTTTCGACTAATTACTAAACTCCCTTCTGATTTCTGGGTCGTTGTCATGATTGGGTATTGGTCTGCTATGTTGGATACCAACCAAAACACCAGTTTCTTAAAAAGTACTTACAGCCTAAAGTTGTCAGTGGTCTGTTTACAAAGTTGAAGGTAAATTTCATCCCGTAATACAGGAGTGTTCCAACCCTTTGTGGTGAGTTCTAGAGCCAGCCTCTCTGGAGTTTTCCCTTTGATGGATCGATCGCCCATATAGCCAAGAATCAGTTTAAAGGTATCAATTGCGTCCTTTTTTAACTGCCTATCTTGTATAAGGATCAATGGTTTTTTGATTGGCACCTGTTAATCGAACCAAAAACACGCCAATGAAAAAAGGGCAAAGTTAGGTAACAGTTGGTTCTCTCGAAGAACTATTTTAATTGTGAATCATATTAGTTCCCTGCGACTTCAAAGTCTCTGAATCTAACGAATACGTTCTGGGCTTGCAGGTATTCTATTTCTGACAGAAAATTCACCGCTCCCCTTTGCAGCGCCAGGCTACCAACGTTTTGGTCACCACAGCATGCACAAAAATAATGAGAACTAGAACTGCAGTAGACGTACGCGTCGCTGCAAGTGTTTGACGATTAAGAAGCTAGCTACATACACTGTTATTTTAATTGAGTGTCTAAAATGGTCTGGAGTTAAACTGAGATAAACATAAAATGTTGCAAATGTTCAGCCACTTTCTTTAATTAAAAAAATTTGCCTCTTTGTTGCGTAAAAGTCCAAAAACGATTGCCACGTGGCTTTCTCTTTCTTTTAATAAAATTCATTGATATCTTCACTTTTTCCAGTTGACTTAACTTAAATTTCTGGCGACTATTACATCAAGGCATTTTAAGTCACTTAATGGCGACTGTGAAATGTTGATCTCGGAGCTGTCCTTCGGCTCCTCCGCTACTCTAAAAAAAAAACATACCTTTGACCAAGACATCATGCTGGCTAACGATATTCTCTTCCGTCTGAAGACACCTTTCTTATGTTGACTTAAGTACTCTTCATATGCGCCAAGAGCTCGTATGAGTGGAGGCTTCGAACCAGGGATGGAATGTGAACGTTCCTGAAAAATACAATCCAATTTTTCTGTAAATCTCTTGATTTGTGACCATCTTCTCCATGTACCAAACTTCAAAGATATGACTAGAGTCAGGAATGAGGATTAATACTTCAACGATAAACGAAATAAAGTATTCTTTGCCACGAGTAATAAAACGTTATCATGAATATGGGTCACTGCCTTCATGAAACGCCAAATTCTCAGAACTAGCCAACAAACAAAGTTGTGGCAATTAGTTGGGAGAACCAACTCCTGGCTCTTCGAAGTGAAGCGGTTGGAAAGGCTCAAAATCAACATACCAAGGTATTGTGTTTCGACGAGCCAGTGACTGGTGAGGCAATCGAAGATGGTCGACTAAGGCGCGGCAAAGTACTCGGTGCCCCCACTGACTTTGTTTCCATCTCGTCATCATCATCATCATCGTCGTCATCATCTCTCAGATCTTTCAGCACACTGTCGCTCACTTGCCTCTGATGCCTGAGGGAACGGATACTTACCTGACTCTCGTTAAGTGTAGGTGGTGCACAGGCCTCTACAAGGCGCGCTGTGGTAGCTGGCATTCCACCTGCCCTGAGTTTAATGCTCAGAGAATTATCTAAAATGTCCTGGTGTCCTGTGATTATGAAAATAACAGATTGCCTTGATTGTTCAAAAGTGCTTGATGGTTCAAAATAGTTTGGGCGGCGGGCAGAACGATTAATATTTCTCGTCCACAATATAATAATGATATCGATGGGAGTTTTAAAACGGGAAAGGACCTTTTAAAACACAGTTGCTTAAAACTTTCACCTTCACAAATGATCACATTATAACGTCTTCTCTGAAAAATAGGCTGTGCTGCCTGTAAATAAATTGAAACTACAGATAAGTTTCAAAGATATAGATGATACCTTTATTAGAGACAATGGGCTTTCTGCTATCAACAAATACAGAATCATTGTCTCTGTCTAACTTCTGTGCAGCGCTATTGGCTAGAATACTTCTGGATGCACTTTCCACCAGTTGCCGTGCTCGCTCAATAGTTCCAGAGGGACTCAGGTGGTCATCACAGGAGCTAATAAAAAAAAAAAAAGGAACATGTCATGAATGTCGATGGACCAAAGAGAGGTTTCTTAGTTACTTGCCCTGGTTAAGGAAACAACATGCAGATAAAAAGGGACATAGGGGAACTCTATGAAATGGGGGGTATTTTGTTACACTTTTGCTTGTCTCTGCGCAAATACAGCTTACAGATTAATTGGAGTTAGATATCTTCTCATTCTTGCAACTCTAAGCCTGTTAACCTAGTGAATCCACTTATAACTCCAATTCTCAATCTTTACAAGGTCAAACCAGTTCATCCTCTTGCAACTATTGCAAAAAAGGACATGAACCTTTTGAAATTTTACCGTAGATGTATATTTGGCATTGAACGTTCTATAATAGCCAAAATTTCTGAGCACTAACTCATCTAAATGTGTATGCCGTGACAAAGTTCCTGATGGAGTTAATTGCCCTTCATCATCTGTAATAGTCCCCTTTCCACTTTCTCCACTATCACCACAAGGTACATTGGGAGCAGGCATGTCGAGTTCTGGTAGAGGAAGCTCGGGTGATTTCCGTTTATCCAAGTCATTTTCAGCAACGCCCGAATCTTCTTCACTGGCCTCTTTGCAGCTTTCATCAGCAGCTTGTTCAGTTGGTTCATCTTCATCAGGCTCCTGATCTGTTCCATTTGCAACAGGGGTGGCTTTCAGGATGGTTTCATCTCCAGTATTTGACTGTCATTGACAAATCAAAACTTTTATGAACAGATTTAATTTGAATTTTTTTTATTACATTTATTCTCTTGGCTTGAATGCCTTTGTAAATCTACATTTCCTTTTACATTAGATTGTATGGTTGACATTACCCCTTCAAAACCTAAGAGTGACCAGCATCTAATTTCTCCCTAAAGTATTCCTTAAAGATGATGAAAATAAAGAAAATGACTGGCAACCTAGGAAGCTTGGATTGTTGAATAAATGAATTCTCCTAGTGAATATCAAAGAAATGTATACAGAAGAGTAAGGAGAAAATGGATACTGATGTTAAGGTGCAAGGATTGAAATATAAAGTTATGGCAACAGGAGAATTTGATAAGTCACAGGAAAAATTTTTAAGTCCACCATAGTTTAGCCAAAGAATTTTGAAAGGTTGCCAGAGAATCCTCTGATTTATGATGGCTATTAACACACTAACATTAAAACATTGCTTCTCTAGGAATTTTCCCTTTGTCACCAGTAAGTTTTTTAACAACAGATTGAACTGTAAATGATATTGAGTCGCTACATTTTTACCTGTTTGTCATCCAAAACCTCATCCTTTGCACAAGCCTCTGCATCATTCTTCTTATCCTCTCTTGAGCTTGTTCTTTCTCTCTTCTCCCTACTGCTTCCATGCCGACGTGAGGAAGATCCCTCCCTTGGCACCCCATCCTTTCTTCTACTACTTTCCCTCCTTGATGAGGAACCATCGCCATGGCTACTGCTACCCTCTTTCCTGAGACTTCCATCTCTCCTTCTTCTCTCTGAGCCTTCACGTCTTGTTGATCCTTCCTTTCTTTCCAATTCTTTAGCTTTAGCTGCCCTACGCTTTTCCCTTGCTTTCAGAGTCTTTTTTATTGAAAATGCAAAATAGTCATGTTAGAATTCTGTCGGCAATTACTCATTCCTATCACCCATTCTAAGGCATAAAGTTGAAAAAAAACGACAGCCATACTTTTTTCCTTACAATATCAAAACAACATCAAGCAGACAATCAACTGGAATACTGAAAATTATTATCCATTAAATATTTTTGCTCACGCACCATTGGTTTACATACACCCAGCTAAATTCCCAATTTTTCACACCATGTCTTCTACGAGTGGTTTTTGTTTAAAATTTAATTTAAGATGAGAGCATGTTTTGTGGATGTTACAGAAGGAAGGAAATATCTATTTTGTTCATACCAGAGAACACTCAATTGAAATCATCCCATGCTGCATACAGTAAGCTGTTTGTATTAAATATTTTAAATGCATTGCAAAATATTTGAAGGATAATGAACACAATAGCCTCTATTTTGCACAAAAATAATCTCATGTATTTGTCCTTAGACATTATTGGTCCCTAGATTCTCACAGTTTTCCTCAAGCTTTGCACAAGGAAAACTATTTGCATCTTGGAACAGATAATTTCTGTAGACAAATATCTGTGCATATTTTGCCCCAAATAGAGGCTATTGTTTATATCAAGAATTATAATTATGTTTATATATTGTCCAATACCAAATTCTCTGAACCAACATCATAAGAATTGTATGGCAGACAGTGAGGAGAATTACAAGGTGATCTTGGGAGTGAAACGGTTAAAGAAGGAAAGGCTGGGAGGAAAAAATAGAATTGGAAGTGAGGAAGAAATCTGAAAGTAGTCCTACTTCAGTGTAAAATAAGAATACAATAGCTCACCTGTAGCCTAGCAAGCGGAATTATCTCAGAATCTTTAGGTTTATGCCAAACTGTAGTCTGTGTTCCAGCACAGTAATAGTAGTAGCGTCGTGTTTTCTGGTCGTACAATTCCCACCATTGGCTGTCATTTGCTTTCCTTCTGCATTTTCAAACAAATCCAAGATTTTACAATTGTTGCTTGTTCATAAAAGAGACCTTCACTTCACATGTTAAGAGGCCCAACTTTTGAAGGTCTCTTATCGTTTGTTGTAAATTCATAAAAATGACTATTGGAAAGTTGCTTGTAAAAACTTAAGCAGACTTGTACTAAATTGGTGATAGTTAATATAACAACCATTGTTTCTCTTGCATAAAGAAACTCTCACTTACATCTCTCAAAAGAAAAAAAGCACATTTGATGCAATGTAATGACATCCTCCTACCCATGAAAAAGTTACCTTATTTAACTTAAGACCATAAACACTTCAAAATTAAAATAATATACACAGCTTGATTCAGGACTCAAGACACTGATCACTAAATTATGATTTTAATTTCATATCTAAATACCAAATTTTCTCCTACTACCCATGACAGCTAAAATAGCTGCCTTCTGAAACAAAGTGAATCGACTTACACTCGTTCTCCATCAGGAGGTTCCCATAAACACTGGCCACTTTTGAGGTTGGCATACATTGGGTCCCCTGTGCGGGGCTCAATAATTTCGACCCAGTCTGACCTTAAAAGTTGATGTTAAGACCACAATTAGTACGTGTGTAACAAGCATGTTGGGCATAAGATATATGAAAAACTGATAAAGACATGCACACACAGGTAATTACACATTTTAAGAACAAAGGGATTTTAATAAAAGCTACAGGCTTTCCTTTATCGAAAAGGCCACCTGTTCTAATATCAGCAGCCATTTATCAAAAGAGGTTGTGTTTCTGCAAGTTCTGTCTTATATCACCTTCAGTAAACCAAAAATGTGTTTTTGGGGCTAAATCCATTTATAAACATGCTACAAAAACAAAATAAAAGTAGAAACATTGGTCAACTAAAATTTGTAGCAACAAGCAACAGTATTCATTTTTCAATTCATCCACTAATGGGAGACAGAGCTGAATAAAATCTCCACAGATCACATATACACCTATAAATCCAGATTAACAGTACTGTGTAAATTGATTTGGCAGTGGGTGTAAACATGTTGAAAGCCTTAAAATCCTTCATCCATTGAAACTGTTGTTAGCAAAGATGAAGACTGCCCAGCTCGCATATTGATAATTTGTTTTAGCCCAATCTGCACAAAATGCATTCTTGCATATGAAATACAATAGTTTGTAGCTAAATTTCAGCAAATGTGCATGGACAAAATTATGGTGTGCAAAATACATTTTGTACCCCTGTTAAAGAATAGTCTCCAGCAAAAGCTTTGAGCTTAACCTTAACCTCCATGTTCACCTCTTTGCCTAGAGAAAAAATACATCATCTCTCCACTTTCAAAATTCTGCCACTTTAGTCTACTGTTGCTAGAATTTAAATCATTAGCCCACAAAAGCTCCTAACATGTGCATATGTGTTTCAGCTCTCTCCTAACAGGGTTAAAGAGAGTTTAAGATGGACCTGAAGGCAGCAAATTTCCCACAGTTTTAAGCAAAATTTATTCTCTCAGAATAGAAATATTTCCCAAAAAAGTGACTCTAGAAGAAACATGTAATTGTATTCATAAAAGGCAAAAACAATTATCACATAATAGTTCTCAAAAATGACATTATGAGTTTAACTAAGAAACTAAAACGTATGTAAAATGCAAATTAAAAGCTAATTCATTGCTTCTTAGATTGAATCAAGGATTGAAAACACTCACAAATCTTGAAAAAACTTATTGATGGCAGTGCTCTAAGATCAATAAAAACAACCCGCAAAATTGAAGGAACAACATTAAAAACTCAATTAGCACCATATCAAAGAAATCATAATTTATTTTAGGGCTCGTAAGATAAATAATTTACAAGCATACTAGGTTAAAACAATTTAGAACACGATGAAAACAAAAAGGTAAGGAAATAGAAAAAACAAATTGTTCTAAGTTTAGTAATCAAAATTTTAAAAATGATGTAAGATTTAAGCTGAATAATATCTGAAGCGTGTCGTAAAAGAAGCCGAATATATTCTTGTATTCGCGTACTCGAGTGTGATTTACATTATACAGTATATCACCCGCACCTCATTGAAAATTAACCACCTCCTTCTTGTTCATCGATAATTAACAAATTAAGTGTATACAACGGGTGTATCATAACCAAAACATTGTGTTTTCGGCTGAACATGCGAACTAAGAGGGTTAACATTTCATTTAAGCACATGTTGCTTGCTAAAATGAACGTTCGTGACAAGCCGCTTGGAAGATAGATCTAATTGTTCTTGAACAAATACATTTCTAAGAACTTCCGACTTAATAATTCGTACAGAAATTTGAACATTTTCTTCAATTTTAACACAAATTTGATATTAAAAATATGTAATCGATCGATCGCATCTTAACGCAAAACCGAATAAAATTTTTTAGACGCAATTTTTGGAAATTATAGTTATGGGACTTTGCGTATGGTTTGTAGGTTGATCGGGCAATTTCAATTTTGTTTATACACAATGTTATTGTGAAACATATGTTCTATCTTGCTTGGAAATATGTTTGCTTCGATTGGCACTAACGAAATTATGTGGAGTGATTGAAACTGGTCGAATAGCTAGATGTACTAATCAGAGATAATTCGGTTGTCTTTTCGAGTGAGTGCGTTGAATTGACACCAGCAAATTTTATGCTTGAGTGGAATCGAAGCGACTTGAAAGAACCAAACAGAACGCGAAGACTGCAGAAACCATATAGAATTTTTTAAAAGATAGTCAAAAGCTAGAAGATGCCTTCTGTTGTAAATCATGTACCTAGAATAGTTGTAATGTTATAAACGTTATTCCGAGTTATGTACAATTTCCTACTTTTCGTCGTTGATTGTTCATTCAATTTTCTTCGCACCAAGCTTGACGCCAAAAACACTTCGTTCATTTCAACACCGGTAGATCATATTCTCAAATCCTACATAATCCTAACTGAGCAAATAACCAACTAAAGGAAAAAATGCCACTTGCTTTGTCAATTCATGAACAGGCGTATTTATTTCATCCGAGCAGGTTAACCCCCTATCGGTGGGAAATTCGCTGCCTTCACACGACCTCTTGAGAAATAGAGCCGAAACGGATGATTGATTATGTAAAACTTACTTCTCAGCCATTGAAGATTTCGATGGTAGTGAAGATCCTACGTAAAAATTAGCGGTTGTGCCATAAGCTGGACGTCAATCCGCCAAATCGCTTGGCCATCCTCCATCGCTTACATGACTACTGGCGGTTTTCGTTTACGCGGCGCGCCTCCGTTTTAGAGAGGTCTGGGCTAAGCTTGGACCCAGAGTTTCTCGGAATAAATATTTAGCTATGTGGGGCGGGAGGGTAAGTATTGTGGCCTGAATTTGATAAAAAAAGCTTAATTAAAACTCATCATAATCTTCTTTTGTAGACTTATAAATATCAATAAATTAAATAATTTTTTTATAATTCTACCTAAAAATCGAAATCAAAGTTTTTCCTCCCCTTTCAGCACATAAATAAAAAAGTTATCACTCACCTCTCCCAATAGGACAAGTAAATGCTTCCGCCGCCATCTTTTTTATGACGCAATCAACTCGATTGGAAAAGCAAAACATAACAAACCAGACCCGGAATTTCGATTTGTTAGTTTTCGCCATTTTACGTTCTTTTATTGTAGCCAGGGTACATTTGAACGGCTGTAAACAATGAATGGACAAACGAGTAAACCTTTTAAACAGAGGAAAAGCTTCTGTAAGTATCACAATTTGGAATTTTTACGGGGAATCGACAAACCGCCATTAACTCGTCATCATATATACTAAAATTATTACTGTTTTGCCTTTTTCCTCTGTCCTATCGCGGTAATTTGTAAATGATATCTTTTGTGCATTTTACCGAAAACCTCAGCGGCAAGGAAAAGGGATTCAGAATCCATCGTTCGGCAATACCCCGACAAAGTGCCGGTAAGAGTTAATATTCGTCGCATCCCTCCATGTTTTTTATTTCGGCTATTGTCAAAATCATGTTCTTAAAATTTATTCATGATACATCATGACTTACTGAGACTTATATCAATCATGTTTTATACCCATTTATAACATGTTATCAATATTTTTATTCAAAATATTTCAATACGTTTCGTTTTTCGTTTAGGTTATTGTGGAAAGATTAAAAACAGAGAAAAATTTGCCAGTCCTCGATAAAATTAAATACTTAGTTCCCGCAGATCTCACCATGAGCAGCTTGTCAAGCATCATAAGGTGAGATAGGTATTTAGATAAACAACTCCGGTTCAAAACAGTTGCTTACAGTCTTCTGGGAAACTGTATCAACTGATTCGTATAATTTTTCGGAAGATATATCTTTTACCGCGTAGCAACCTTTGGACTTAAAACAAATGAAAGCTTGTTCTCTCAACGGTTGTGAATTGAAATACCGCTTGCAGTTATTTATAATGTCTTTCAGAATACCTCTTTTATATTGATGGTAAATTTGAAATGAAATGGTGAGCTAGTTGCAGCAGGAGCTCATCAACAGTAGCCTCTATCTCCAAAGCTAAGCCATGGACTCAACCCTCTCCGTGGTAGATCTATTAATAGAAAGGCGAATTTCAGGTGAATTTTCGAGTTCTATGACCCAATCAAAACAGAACTTTGGCAATCCTGTTGTTTTTTGTCAATTGTCCGCACACATGCATTGAGCAGAGACATTAGTTTTTCAATTTGCAGTCAGTCACTCAACAGAAATATGTTCTTTTGTGGGAAAAAGCTGTTCTGAAACTGAATCTGCTCAGGACAGGGTTGACTCAAGGAATCAGAGGAGAATAGAAACTCCCATTGATAGGCTCCTGGTTGAGGTCATCCTTGCACACAATTGAAGTTACTTATGAGATAAATAATAATTTGACCTGTGGAAGAGATAACAAGTGACAAACTGATCTTCACAGATAAACTTCAATTTGATGTATGGCAGAAAAAGTGAAGTCTTTAATGGGAATCAGGTGTAATCCCCATCGAAAGCTGAATTTTTGAGATTTAGTTTTCCGAAGTGAATTAATCCAAAATCATTGGATTTAACCTAGATACCTCAGGAAATAGGGCTCTATAAACTTTGAAATGTTGAATTTGGTTTTTACCAGTTAACAGTAAACTTGTTGGTTTGTTGGGGTTTTTTCTTTTGGCCTCTGGGGTGCAATTATTCATAAGATTGCTCGACTAGTGCAACAAAATTCTGTTAAACACTAGACCACTGACTGAGCTAAATATCATCTGCACATATCACCAATGGGTTCATGAATCCATAGCAACAACAGCATGTATTAATTAAAGTCTAATTTGAATTAAGCAGCTTGGAATTAAGCAGTGACCTTTATTAAGCAGTCTACAATAATGTTTTGAGCGTGTTTTTGTTTATTAAGTGGTCATTCATAGTATAATATTATGTTTTTTTATTTTTTATAATACTCCTATGTGGAACCTGTATTAAGCAGTCACTACTCCATACAGCTTTGACTGTAATGGAGCAGTAATTTTAAAACTTTTGAAAGCACAAATAGCCCTCATCCATTGAAACTGCTATCAATTGATTTAACAAACTTATGAATACAGTAGACCTTGGTGGTGTCCTTCACAACAAAAAAATGTTAATGCACAATTTGAAGCAAAACCACCATAAATTATATATCAGTGGAAAGGTTATGAAATTTTCATTCCAGCAAAATTTGGTCTTTACTCAATTTAATTGAAAACTTACTGAGGCATGACAATTTGAAGTGGACAATTAAGCAAATTATGCAGGTGTCAAATCAGACTACACAAAAATAACTTTTGCACAATTTCAATTCCTAGTGAGAAAAAAAATTATGAAAGCAGTTGTTTAAGTCACCTTAAGATAATATTTAAGTTGCTTGAAAGCTGAGAGTTCTACTCGAGAAACAATGTGATTGTGTATTAACTTGTTTGAGACCAATAAGATGATTGATTGTCTGAGATATTTTTTAATATTTCTTGTTTAGGAAAAGGCTCCAGCTGAGTCCAACCCAAGCATTTTTCCTTCTTATAAATGAGAAAAATCTAGTCAGCATATCAATAACAGTTGGAGAGGTTTACAAGGATGAAAAAGATGAAGACGGATTTATTTACATGGTTTATGCTTCGCAAGAGACCTTTGGTTCTTAAGTTGTTTAGTTTGCAAACCAAAACAGTTTGTAAATCATGCTTTACATGCAACTCAGACATGTACGTGACATATTTGTAAAGGGTAGATTAGGGTGAGTGAATGTATATACTTATTTACTGTAGAATTGTATTTAGACAGGCATTGAACTGTGAAGCTGACATATCATACCTGGTGCAAAGAGGCGTTTTAATATATCTATTGCTTGCCTTTACCTTAAAAAGGAATTAACAGGAAGTTTTTGGTTGAGCCACAGGTAAAATTACTGGAAGTTAAATTTTAAATTAATGGTAAACTTGCACTTTTTTTTGTTACTGAAGGTAAAGGATAGGTAACAGATTTGAAGAGAGGTAAATGGTCTCATATTCTATTGTTTCTTTAAATATAAATTGATGTGAGAAATGCCAAGATGAGAGGAGTGGGTAAAATGGGAATTGAAATGACAATATAATTGCTTAATTGATTACAAGTTACTGTTAGTGGTAATTTGTATGTAAACTTTTAAGCTCTGTTGTCTTCCTTTGTTTGTGTGTTTTTAAGATCAGATGTTGTCACCAAAACTTTTTTTCTTGTAACCAATATAATATTCCACAAACTCAATTCTAAGTACGTGCTTTGTTATCCAACACCATCTACATGTATGTACCAATTTGGACAAATATATCTCAAAACAAGTTTGTTTAATTATATAGGTATTAATTTTAGGTAACATGGGTGCACACTTGTGATGGTGTTTAACTCAATAAGCAATTAAATTTAAGTGGGTACTGTGGGTGTTATGCAATAAGTTTTAATGTTCCAGGTATATGTTTGAGGTCTTGTTTCCCCACTGGAGCTGACTAAAATTGTAAATGTAGCACTTGTCTGGAATGAAAATAAAGTGTAATCAATTTGATATTGCTGTGTGAAAATGTTCTCCAAACGTTTTGAACATAATATGAACAAACTTTGATGTCACTGTAATTTCTTTTTAAATAATGAAATCAAGTTAATAATGAAGTTACTTTTTTATTGCTTTCTTTAGTGCCTTGAAATTTTGTATTGGGAGAGTGAGATGAAACTAGGACTAATTATTAATTGTTAGTCACCATAGTGGAGGAGAGTAATGGTGGATACTTACTGAGCCGTGAAGTGACGAGTTAAACATCCATCACTTTCACCGACACTCAGATCAAGAAATTGTTTTAGTATATATCATACTGAATCCAAAAAATTAGACTAGTCGATGTCTGTCGATTTACTGGGAAATAGTCGGAAATTATACTCTTGACGCGTAATTTTTTGCTCTTGGAGATGGATAGTTAACAGCTATTCAACCAGGAGTTAACAACTATTCACCGAAGTGGAGGTGGTTAGCGATGGATATTAACCAAGCGTTGAAGCGGCGAGGTAAATATCTAACGCTAACCACCTACATTATGGTGAATAGTTGTTGAAGCATTTATTAAAACAGTGAGGTAATACAGCACCAAAAGATAATTTTAAATACAATATTTTTGGGCGCAAATCTCATGCAAGTTGCTCGAAGTAGGACATTAGGAGTTTGAGTAGGCAATCAGAGTGCGCCTTCAACGCAATCCCTCTGTTTGATAGATACTGATACTTGCTTATTATTTCCGAACTAGCCAATCAGCGCGCGCGGAATTGGCGGGGTATATACTGTGGTTGATTGTTAGTCGGTGGTAGTCTAGTAATTGTCTTTTGTTTTGGTTGACTTTTGGAGCATCGGCCGTCTATCGGTCGGTAAAATACCAAAGATAGGGTAGGAGTGAGATTACTTACGCGCGAAGAATTCCCTTCTGCAATCCATCTAGGTTGCGGGCCGCATTTCAGCAAATGCTTTTCTTGTAAACCTAGCCATATTGGCAATCGCTTTCAGCTAAACATTCCAATTACTACCTCAATCAAATTTGTCAACGAACTGAATCCTATCGGTATCCCAAATTCTTATACGGTTCACATTAAAATCGTTGATATAAATTTAAGTTGTTGGTGCATTCAGTTCTCTTTCTCCTCTCCCATGCTGGAGAGAACAATCTTTGAAACCTATCAACTAACGACAATTGCAGAAAATCTAGCTTTGATTAGTCAACAGACCACTCACAGAGGGTTCAAGTCTATTTGGGGCAAGCTGTGAAAAGGACACATGCCGCCAGTCTACACACGGACCATGTCAGCGACTAAAGTTTGATTGCTGTAGCTCACCTCCTAAGACTAAATGATTTAATAAGAACTCTCAAACGACATGGAAATTTTCAGGATACTTGACTGCTTAAGTTCTACCCCCTGAGCTCCCAGATTTGCGCCTTGTGTAAAGAAACATGCGGCCCCATATGCACACTGTTTTTGGGATGATCAAAAATGTACTTTATCATATACAATGGCTTGGTTTAGTGTAAGTGGTGAAATTTTAACTACTCTGACTTGGTTCAGTCCGTAATTGCCCTACAGAGATTAATAATATCTTCTGCTGGCCACTGACCGAGAGTATGTGGGAGCCTATGATGACGTTGGACAAGGCGTGTTGATAAATCTCGTTCGTCCTGACGAAGGGCAAAAATTATCAACTCAGTTGACAAAACCAATCTTGTATCTTGTTACTTTCACAACAACGCGCATTCTCAAGATCTACTGTCAGGAAACAACCCTTCGTTCCCAACCTCTTCGCCGGGGTCTTCTCCTCTTTCCTCGACATACCAGGGGAAAAGAAATTATCACGGTTTCAAGAACTTCATTTGCAGAAGACAAAAAAAAGAGACTAAAACTGTAATTTACTTTTCCCTCTTACATCATCCTCAAGCTTGCATTTTGAGCAGCGTTTAATTCGTGCAGTTTAGGAATATCGAGTTTTTGTTGAGTGGAAACCTTTTAAAATAGATTCTTGGAAGGTGAAATCTAATGCTGACATTTCCGGTGGCATATGGCCGAGACAATGTAACGAAGACAGTGAAGCGAATGACATCAGCACGGCGATTGGTCTTTACTGATGATGTACTATATAGATTTAGCCAAGCCTTAAAGCGGAGTTCGCATTTTTTTTCCCGCACGTCCCAAGGGCACAACGCCTTGCCCCGGCCAGGACTAAAACCCGGGTCGTCCGACTCGGAGCCCAATGCACTGACCACTGCACTACTGGACAAAGCCGTGGCGTTGGCGTTCCCGTGGTTCAGTTGACCACGCATGTTAAAAGTAGCACCTTGTACGGTCGGTCGTAAGGTCGTAAGTCCAAATTTTTTCGGCTTGATGGGTTACTACTACCATTTTGTATAATTATGGGGCTACGCTCTGCGAGCTCCGCTATCATGTGACAGACGCACGGGCAACGTCGGGTAATCTAGTGTTATCAACTGAGTTGAAAACGTAAATTGGCCACCGTAAAGAGTTTAAAGCTGATGTTTCGAGCGTTAGCCCTTCGCTAATCGCTCTGACGAAGGGCTAGCGCTCGAAACGTCAGCCTTTAAACTCTTTACGGTGGCCAATTTACGCTTTCAACTCGGCTAATAACACTAAATTACCCTGTTATACTCTCCCACCGACGCAGCACCACAGCTTTTTTAGAAACTTAACCCTTTTTCATTGGCCTATAACAATAATTCGTTGAGAAGAAAAAAAAGGAAGAGTTAGATACCTGAGAGAGGTTTCATCGACTTGTAACAAAGAAAAAAAATTCTTGATGAGAAATCGAACCTCAGACCTTCGGATTCCGCGCTCAGGTGCTCTACATCTGAGCCACAGAGCGTCGGATTCCGCGCTCAGATGCTCTACATCTGAGCCACAGAGCGTCGGATTCCGCGCTCAGATGCTCTACATCTGAGCCACAGAGCGTCGGATTCCGCGCTCAGATGCTCTACATCTGAGCCACAGAGCGTCGGATTCCGCGCTCAGCTGCTTTACCACTCGTACACAGAGATTTCGGACCGCTTGGTCAGACACAAAATTTATTCTTTCTTAAGGATTTCCACAAAGCAGGTCCTAGTTCTCACATAGCAACACCTGACCTCGATACTAAGTACGCAATAGTTTGTGCAATACATTAACGAACTGCATTCTATGCTCGTGAAAGCAATGTGTGGTATTTAAAACACCAGAAAATTACTTTTCTTAAAATAGGTTAAGATAAATACTTTTTTTCCCATTTAAGAAAAGATTACGAGATTTAAGAATAAAATTCGGCAATAATAATTTCGAACGACGTTCCGTTGACTCGTTCATCATTTCAAATTCTAAAGGTCAGATTTCTATGAGTTCTGTATATACAACGTATGCGCGTAAAAATGAACGAGTAATTTAGTGTTAACTGAGTTGAAAACGTAAATTAGCCACAGTAAAGAGTTTAAAGGCTAACGTTTCGAACGATAGCCCTTCGTCAGAGCGATCGAGTCCCTTCGTAGAGTATTGTCTGCTTCTTTTGCTTATGATGACTTTCTAGGAAACATGTATTTTCCACAAAAACAGGAACTGTCCTTATGTAACTGATTTAAAATATCGTTAACTAAATACCTAGAGAAACATACTGTATTTACAGGACATCTCAAACTTCCCCTCTAAAATCGCAGATTTCACGCAGGAAAAAAACAAAAACAAAAAAACAATGATGTCCTAAAATGTCGATTTAGTTGCAGGATCTTGAGGAAATGGCGCCGGCGGAGCAGAAGGGAACTGATAGTTATAAACAAACGGGTACATCGGTGTGAACGTATTGTTACCCAGAGCCTTCCCAGAGTCACCATCGTCATTTATCGACGTTCCTCCTCTGACAGATTCTGCATAAGATGGAGGAGCTACAAGGGAGACAAAACGAAGAAAGAGCGTTAAGCGAAACAACGTCTCCCAAACTGTCAGCTCACATCAGTACTTAGTTAGGGTCTAATTCCTGAGTGACCCCAACCTCGTTCCCAAGGTTCCCTCTCTTCTTCCAGGGAGGAAGAGAAGGGATTCCCTCCCCAACACATTCCCTCACCCACACGGCACAATAGGTTACTGAAAAAGGTTAAACAACAGACAGAGAACAGTTCAGAAAACAGTAAATACCAAAGGCTTTGTGACAAGAGCAGCCTCAGCATTTTAGAAATTTTAAGCAAGTGTAAAATAAACTAAGAAATTATGGTCAGTATGTGGTTTTCATAATTTCATGATTTATGGAAACTCCTCCAGTACTATACCAAGTCCTCTTCCACAGAACTGTTGATGCTTATTGACTGAATTAAGATATATAAGTAGAGAAATCGTTTCCACCATGCACCTTCAGCTTTAAAACTCGAAAGAAACTAATAAATTCCACATTAGCTAGACTTATCACTCACCTATATTTGGATAAGGCTGTGAGCCTTCACCAAGCTGAGAAGCCTCAGGGTAACCTGCCATACCACTAAAGCCTGCCAAGGGTTGTGGTGGACCAACAAAATTAGGTGCGGCAGGTGGGGGATACTGTGGTGGCATGGGTGGTCTGTATGGCACAGAACCAAGAGTGATTGGGATATTCACATTTGAATTGAAGGCACCCTTCACTCTGACTTTCAGCTGTTGAAGAAATAAAGATATCTGAAACTGACGAATGAAAAAAGATCAGGACCCCCCCCCTTTTGCTACTCTCCTACTCTTTGCTACAAACTGACAAATTAATTGCCAATGGGGGAGGAGAATTTTGTTAAATGCCAATGGAGGAGGAGGGACAAATTAAATGCTAATAGGGGGGAAGCAAACCATTACAATGGTATGGCTTCCCATGCCAATGTTCTTAAAACATCCTGGTCTACCCCTGTACAAAATATTCAATGCAAAATAATCCAACCTTCAGTTTAAGGTTACTGTTAACACAAAAAATCTAGTTAAAATTTCAAAAATCCTTTTTTTGCTCTGTAGTTAGAAAAAGCATTTCAGTTTTATTTGCCTAGAAAAAAAAACAAACAAACAAAATCTTAACAAGTACACAAGATATAGCAAAGGATGTGTTTTATGATGACTGGCGCCAAATACTTTTGGGAGTCAGTACATGGCCTCATGTGAACACTTGGAGGTTGGGAGAATTTATGAAAGTCATGGAAAGCTGAGACACAGTCAAGGGTTTAGCTATGTATAACTTTCTCAACTTCTTCAAACCCCCTCCCCCCTCCCCCTTTCCCTTCTCTTTAGATGAAGCCAGGTAAACAACAAAAAAGTCTCCTGCTGCATCAAAATTCAGTTATTAAGCCAAAGCAATAACAAAAGCAACTAACAATTTACCCTCAGGACATACGACAGCCTCAAACAATGACAACTTAATGTGGATGGTGGTAATGATGGAATTGTAAATGCCAGCATTGGTAAACGAGACTCTTCACCAGGCTTCACTCCTTCCTGAAACATGCTTGCAACCTTTTCCTCACCATGCCTTTGCTTTCCTATAATCATCACAAAAATGAATTGTTAGGAACTCTGCCAGCCTGTATCTATGTCACACAGAAGTTTTTAGGAGGTTCACATCTCTGGAATTACCTACATCTGCATGTACTTCTACAAGCATACAGGTGTACTTCACTAAAGCAAAAATTTACATTGACATGAACTGTATGCTAATCAGTCAATTTAAGGCAATTCTAAATGAAACCTTAGCCCATCAAAGAGGTATTATGATGAATATGTAAGAATAACATTCCCCAAACAACGATTGCAAACTGAAAGAATAGAATTCTTTTAGTCTGCTAACTTAAGTTTGTGTAAATTCTGGGGAAAAAAATTATTTAATATTTTTAAAACAGGATTAATTTTAAACCACAATTAACCACAGATAACTATGAATACCAGAGACATCTACAGAACATTAAAAGTACATTGTTTGTTGCTGCCTCTAACATCACAAAGTTTAATAACATTCATATTCGTCAACTTACCACATGAGGCAATATAAATGATGGCTTGAATAAGTTGGAACTCCAGACCAATAATTTCATTATTTGAATTATTACTGATGACAGCTGAGACTCCAATAGACTCACCAGGACAGTACCCACCCCTGTCGGTATAGAGTGTAATACTGAGAGGACCAGACTTACAACACAGGCATCCCACATCACGATTTTCAGCCATCTGACAGGGTTGCTAACAAAGAATAAGGGAGGATAAAAATCAGGACCCAGTTCTTCAAAGGAAGGATAATGCTATCCAACAGGTGAACCACCAACCAGTGGATAAATGGTAAAAAAAAACCCTGCGCTAACCATTGGATCAAGAGATAGCTTTATCCACCCTTTAAATCACCAGGGCCACTGTTTCTTTAAAAAAACTCTTTCTGCATTTCTGGAAAATTCATTTTTATTTTCTGTAATTACCAGCATGAAAATTTTTGTCCTCTACAGGAAGAGTGCACTTGAATTCCAAATGAAAATGAAATAAATATTCTTACAGCATAATCCAAAATGCTTATTGCTGAAAATATATCAGTTGACTCCTACTAATCAGGCAGTATGATCCTATATAAAAGGAAAAATTTCAATTGCCACAAACATATGCATTCCGACATTGAAAATAATTGTAGTCACACTTATATTTTTGAAAGCACATTGTAAATTAATATGCTGAACAACTGGTTCTTTTCCTGGATCTCTGCTTTCTAACAAAAAATTAAAACATAAAGCCATGCATATGTCATGATGGAAAAGGGTTAATATTTACATCAGTCTGAGGTGTGATTTGCCTCCTGACATCTTGTGACCCATGGATTTTTTTCATTCAGTTCATGACATGTCAATATTTCCCAGAAACTTTGTACAGTAGGAGAGAGACTTGAACTGTTTCCTTTTATTTACGCAAACCATGAATTAAGAAAGGAATGCAAAAAACAGAATCAGCACTGCCCATTTGCTACACTCATATGTGAATAGTGCTGGAAAGGGAATTTCTGCAGACAGTAAACCCACTCAACAACAACAGCACCAACAAAAAGAGATTCAAGAACATAAGGTTTTGTTTCATGGAGCATTACAACATTAGTGCACTCACCAGGAGAGGTAATGTGTTGATGTCAACAAACTCAATCATGGTGAATGCTGCCTTTGTTGTGAAGTCAAATCTCCATGGGCGATCAATAATTCCCTTGAGCCAGTATCGGACATAGCCATGATTTGCTTCAACTGATGTTGGCATATTTTGATTTGGAATGAGAAATTGGAAGGGGTAAGAGTATTCCCCTGGCTGCAGAACTGGATCGTCACCACTCTCATTTGGACCTGTAAATAAAAACAAAGAAAAAGGATTGAGGCCATAAAAAATACTTTAATGATGAATCTCTGCTAACTTGAACTAGACTAACTCAAACTTCCTGCTAACTTAACAAGAAGAGATTTTTCCCTACATTTGACCCCATTTTTTAAAGTTATTTATTATCAGCAAACTTGAATTTGGTGAACTCAAACTCAACATTATATTAAACTAATTTTAACTAGTTTGTCTTGTTTTTCAAAGTAAACCTTGTTGAAAAAAATTGTAGATTGAGTGGTTTAATTTTTTGGGACATGTCTTGGCATAATACTAGGAATGCAAATTGATGCAGAAAGAACTTGATGGCCTGCCAAATATTCTATACTCTTGACCTCAAATCCTGTCAATCATGCCTGTAACATTTAGCAAACCTACATCTTAGTTGCCTACTGTCATGCAAGCCATAAGGAAATATGCTTGCAACAAGGAAATTCCTGTAAAAAATGATTTTCGCGTTTTAATTTCTACTACTTTTGAATATGATTTTTTTGATCACCTTGGACATGCAAATACACCATCGATCTGCATTTGATAATTTATTAATCATGAAACACATCATTGGTAATTACAGGGCGGATCGGAATAAATACGTTTATGTTTAAAAAAGAAAAAAAAGAAAAAAAACTCATTGCAATCTGCTTTTAAAAACAACTAAAAGTTAGCAGAGATGAAATGCACAGAAATACAGCCAAACTCCCACAACGCAAATGACAATAAAATATAAAGTTTAACTTCAACTCATTCATACACCCCAGGAAAACTGCCAAAGACAGTTGCTCGTGTAAAAATGTACCAGAGTAATAGATAGATAATGATGGCAATAACGTACATTTTCGAAAATACCCTAAATATCACGAAAAACAAGCCACTGAGCAACAGCAATCGGTTTCAAAACCATTGTTTACGTCTGAAAATAGCGACGAAAATATAAAATAAATTAAATGTACCTGATAGCAGCACACACAGCTGGAAATACCGAACTTACCTTTGCCAAACAACGTCGCCATAGTGTTGATGTACGTTTCACTGTTACTGTAATGTCTTGTCCTTCTATGCTCGCCAGATCCTGTCGTTTCAGACCAATGAATGTGTGCTTTGCCATGGAACTCGAGTCGAATGCCTCGCAGTTTTAACTCCTTGTTGACCTTCACACGTAGAGTACCATTCAGTGCCTCACCGGGGTAAAACGTTGTCTTGCCTCCATAAAATTCGACGATGAAGTATTCAATTTTACCCATTGTTCTGGTGATCGATCTTTTCAGCCTCAATGGATCTGATAATCGCAGCTTTACTGTAAAATCTTAGATTCAGCGCGGTGACCTCCCGATTGATGCGGACACAATACCCATGACTGGTACAATGGAAAGAGAGAAATTTAAATGATGTGCACATGACTAAGGGGGGTGGGGTAGGGTGGGGTTGGTTACAATTTTTGTGGCGTGGGAGGTCATGGGAGGCAACGCCACCACAAATGTTGTCGAGATGTGTGATTCCGATCTTGACCCAATTTACAATTTTATTATTGTTCCTTTTTTTTTCAGAGTACCTTAAGTTGTACTACATTCGCACTCGATACACAGTTGAGTTCTCTCCTATTGTTATTTTTGGCTTAAGCCACTACAACATGTGTCAGTTCAGTACTCGCTCTGACACTATGAAAGACAGACGATAAAGAACTCACAATCATTTTAAGTTTTCCACGCAGAAATATCAGAAATATCTTAAATCATGAATCATTAAACTTAGAGGAAAATTTTTTTTGAAGAGAGCATTTTACGGTCTAATTCAGTAAATTATGTAGATCCGAAGATTTAACTTTTCAGTTCTTGCCGTGACACTACAAGTGACGATAAAAATCTCAAAATAATGATCCCACACTGGCATCCACCGACGCGTAATTTCGATCAAAACTTTTCTTTCCAGAAATATCTCAAAAGATGTGATCTTGCTACGAGGCTTTGAGGATTTTCTTTTCTTTGAAAAGAGAGCATTTTATCGTTCGAGTCGGCGACTCATAAACTCTTTACGGTGGCTAATTTACGCTACCAATCCAGTACATAATACTAAATTACCCAGTAATACTCTCTCACTGACGCAGCACCACAGTTTCTTGTTGCCTCTTTGTTATGACCGAGAGATCAAAGACTTAATATTTTTTTATAACTGTCTGTACGGAATATCGCCTATTGACGTTAACAACTTTGTTAATTTTGTTCCCCACAACCGCACAAGAAACTGTTTTAATCCGGAATTATTGCTGAAAACTCAGTCCTGTAAAACATCTTTATTTAAGGCCTCATATTTTAATAGAATTACAAAACTGTGGAATATTATGTGTAAAGTAGCTCCTCCGTCTTCCTTAGGTACTCTTTCATCCTTTAAGAACTTTGTCACTAATCACTATTTTAATTTATTAGCAAATGTTTTCGATATTGACCAACCGTGTACCTGGTCAGTGTTTATAGACTGTTCCTGCCATAGAACTCATTCGCACTGACTTAAAACTTTGTAATATTTATTTATTTTTTATTCTGTAGGGAGTTTCCTTGCATGGGTACTCACGTCCCGTTCGTTACTCCCTTTTGGCAATTTTTTTTTTTTTTTTTTTTTTTTGTACGTGTAACTTCTCGTTTATTACTTTTGTAACTCAGTAGAATGCCAATAAAATTAATAAAAAAAAAAAAAAAAAAAAAAAAAAAAAAAGAAACTTACCCCCTTTAGACAAAAGGTAGCTAATTTATGATGGTGATAGGACTGAGTGGTGTCCAATGCGTTTTGTAATCAGTGAGTGAGACCGCGCACCGGGAGTCCGATTTGTTTGGATGACACGAAGTCTTACTACCAATTAATCATAAAAATTACAATTTCCGGGAAAAAAAAGAATACGCCAAGTTATGAAAGAAAGGGAAAATTTGCTCTAAGAGACTGACAAAGGAAATAAAAAAAAATCATCGTTCATGGGGAAAAATTCTCCATTTTGATAAATCCCCAACAGTACACCATGGTCTTGTCATGTTTGACACGGTTGTGTGGTGCATAACTTGAATTGTGTCGTAGCAGCTGGTTTTTAAGCATGCAACTTTATTCAGTTTCAATTCTAATAATTGCATATTGTTTAATGAAGAGGTTTGACACACTGATCTCTCACACACTATATAATGAGTTGTTAGGAATGAAATAGTAACAATAAAATTAGAAATAGCTACCACTCTGTGACTGAAACAAGTTACTGAAGCTTGGACGACGACGACGGCGAATTTCGCGAATGAAAAGATTTTAGATGTATGATTCAAATGGATATTTTTCAAGAATATATCAAATCTGCCTTAAGGCATAAGAATTACCTCTCGGTTTAAAATTAAGGGCCTGGAAAAAGCTTCTGTCAACACTCCTGCGTTGCAAGCATTTTTAAATATAAAAGTTGTGGATTCGTGATAACGGTGTCACTACTAACAGTGTCACCACTCATTTTTAGGGCGCCGCAGCTCGACTTCACCCATAAGAGCCAGCTTTGCTAGTTATAAAAAAACATAGGCAAGTTTACATATGTTAGCCACGTACAGATAAAACGTTTAATTTATCTTCGTTGCAATCTTCATTCGTTAGAAAATTCGAAGTAAGTCTGAAATAAGTGGAAAATTCCGACAAGAAGATATTACTGGTCAAAAAATAAAAAACAACTGATCAAAAACGTGTTCATAGACTCATAAAATCAGCCTTACAATTTGTAATCGATTAAATTGTTGAAGCAAACTTTGACTTCATTTTGGAATATAAAGAAAACTCAGGCAGCTAGATATCACGCAAGTAATTATCACTTATGAAAATTCCCTTCGCTAATTCCCCTCACATTACAACTGCAGTTCAAGATTGTTCAAAGATTCAAAGTCTTGAGAAAAAGCCCCTATTCCCACTGCTTGGTGCTGCATGCGAGTGCAATATTTTCCAAAATTAGACTTTGCTGGTAGACCGAACTTCTACAGAAAGTGCTTTGGTTCTGGTCAAGGAATGAATGTAAATCGTGAATGACATCTGAGCTCAGTTGTCGCCTTTGAATATAAACTTCTCCAACTGCATCATGGGATATTCCACACACACTGACACAATAAAGGCCACTGCATACGAAATGCCGAGTACACCGACATAAAAGAATGCCTAGAGACCAAACAAAGACAGTTATTCTCACACCTACAAACCTTAAGACATTACTCCGGAAAAGGCGGCAGCCACTATGCTTCTCGGGTCCATGGTCAAAATTGGAATGGAAAGCTAATATAAACGTAGCTTCCAAGAGATAACAAAGTGTTCGCTACAAGGTTTCATTTTTCATATGGAGCGCTTTTCGATTGAGTGTCGTAAAACCAAAACCAAGTTGAACGTAATCAAACGAGTCAATTAGAAGAAGGAAAATATCGCAAGCAGCCAAGAAAACTACTTAAAGCGCGGGAAAACGCGGGTAACCAAGTCGAAAGTGGTTTCAGTAACGGATCCGCTTTTTGGTTAAGAAGGTGGCGCGAAATTCTCGACTAATCACAAAGCAAAGTAAAGCAGACCAAAGCAATCCCTGATTGCTTTGGACACTCAAATAAAAATTGTTACATTTTTCACAACTAGCCATTAGGATGATAAATATATACCTGCCAATTTTTTGGGGGTCAAAAGCGCGAGCTTCTTATCGTTATGATGCCAGCGTTTTCACCCAATGTCGGTGTTGTCCCTCACCTAAAATTTCTCTGACATTTTTCCTGGCTCACTGTAGAATTAAGATGTACTAGATGACCCACTTACCATATGCACATCAGAATATGCCCGAACAGTCTCAAAAGACTGAAACATAGCGAAGATGATGATGGGGTGAACCAGATAGGCACAGTACGTCAGCCGGCTCAGTGGAATCCAGAATCGAGCCGACAGGAATTTATTCACCAAACCTTGCAACAGAAACAAACCAAAAAAAATTGTTTTTCAATGCAACATTGAAAGATACGCTAGATATGACCATAAAAATCACCTGAAATCGTTGGCTCGATAGCCAGGCATGCAAACTGTTAAGGTCACATCTCAGCGACCTTAAGTAACACCAACTGTCCCTTTAGACCATCGATTACCCGGGAAGGGAAGATTGTTTATTTTTGTACAAAACTATGGATGAATTGTCACCTGTACACGGATTAATCCCTGCATTCCGAGGTCACTTAGAGACTTGTCGCTTATACAGGATACTTGACAAAATCTAGGCTGTTCTGCACTAGACAAAAATAAGCCTCACGCTACTGGACTTGCCATTTGCAGGAATTGGACTACTTCTGTAATCCAGCAGGTTTTTTTTACAGACAGATCCTTGACTAAAGTTAATAATGAACAGTTCATTTAGCATTGTAAAATGATTCTTCAAAACCTTGACTAGGTCCCTTAAAACGATCTCCCAATGAGCACAAATACTCTCTGAGTTCTATCATCCTTCTCATAACGTTGCAAACAGAATTAAATCACAGTAGAAAATAGGGGCGAAGTTAGTTATCGAAAAGACCCTTGAGAACCGAGGTGATTATATACTGAGCTGGTATTTTAAATTCTATTGTAATTTCTGCACTTCCTTTGACACTCAGCCAGTTATCAATCAAGACGTACCTCCAAGCCCATTATGGCAAGCAAAAATCACCCAGGCTAGTGCAAGGCTCCATGCAAACCTTGAGAAAGTTCCGTATATGATATTCTCAGCGCGAGAGAATTGCACGGGATTGTCTTTCCTTATGACTTTGTACTGACCATACAGAGTAGACAGGGCGAGAGCGATAGCAACACACCAGCCAGCCATGTTGATCAAGTACGTCTGAACCTTCAATAAATTTTATAACAGTCAGGAATCAACTTTGTATCCTGGGAGTCTAACGTTTTTTTTTTGTTTTTTTTTTTTTGGGGGGGGGGGAGGGGACCAGGGGACCAGGGGACCATCCTTATGAACCTAGTCAGACCTAGTCTGTAACTCTCCCGGCTTTCAGCAGCTGTACATGGCAAGAAGAATTTCGTACCACAACAAAACATCACCTTCTGAGTGATAAGATGATCTTATTTCTTAAACCCACCTGAAGTAGTTTTTTTGGAAGAAGTTACTGGTTAATCACTCCTTGGCAGACAAATAAAGAGCCATGGAGAGAGACATGCAGACCGACAGTGGGAGATATATACAAACCAACACACAGCCAGACAAATACACTGACAGACAGAACAGACAAAGGGATAGACACAAAAAACAGACAACATAATTTGGTTTTAATCAACGTGGTTAATAATGTTATTGGCCTCTGTAAAGAGCTTCAAAACTGACGTTCGCCCATGAGCCCTTCGTCAGAGCGAATAGAGGGATTTTGGGTTGTGTGTGTGTGAAAGACAGACTGACTGACTAACTGACTGACTGAATGACCACCTGACTGATTGGCTTACTGAATGATTGACTGACTAACTGACTGACTAACTAACTGACTGACTGACTGGCTGACTGGCTGACTGGCTGACCGGCTAACTGACTGACTGGCGAACTAACAGACTGACTGACTGACTGACTGACTAACTGACTGACTGACTGACTGGCAGACTGGCAGACTGGCTGACTGGCTAACTGACTGACTAGTGAACTAACAGACTGACTGACTGACTGACTGACTGACTAACTGACTAACTGACTAACTGACTAACTGACTTACGACTAGCTGACCGACTGACTAGCTGACTGAAACAGGCCAGCAAACTGACCTCAACTAGCAACGGAAACACAACTCTGACTGTTCTTCTAGTGAATTGCCCATCAACATGTATGTGACAAGATTGCCAATTACGTACCTTTCTAGGAAGTCTCCAGTCCTTTACGTGAAGAAGTAAGTAGCCAGTTACCATGCCAACAAGATACGGTGAAATACGACAATAAGGCTTTTCGTAAGTCAGAGACATGGAATCCACATGTTTCAGGCTGCAAAATCAATAGATAAATACACATTGTTGATCGCCAAGCGATTCTCGCCCATGCGAATACTAGATAATTTGGTTTTATCAACTGAGTTAATAATGTAAATTGCTAAAGCTGACGTTTCGAGCGTTAGCCCTTCGTCAGCTTTAGAAACTCTTTAGGGTGACCAATTTAAATTATCAACTCAGTTGACATAAAACCAAATTATCTTGTAACACCTCCTTCGACGCCACACCTGAGTTTCTTGAGAAACTTACCCCCTTTATTTGCAGCAGATACTAACTGAGTCAACCAATCAAGGTTGGTGATTTTTCCACGTGACTTTTCAAAACGATACATTAAAATACAACTCACAAGTGCAAAGGTGAAAGAGCAGACAAAAGAGGGAGTTCTCACGTTTCTTCCTGAGCTGCTTTACTAAGCATAACGGCAGCAACGTTGTAATGTGCATATATCACAGCTGTGGTGACGAAACTGATGCTCAGTAAGCACCCCACAATCACAATCAATCCTCGAAGACGAAACCTAAGAAGAAACAAACAAGAACAGAAGATGACTAAGCCTTGGTTTAGATTTCCTAATCCATAGAGAATGAAGTCCTTTGCATAGAAGAAAAAGTATTTCCAAGGAAAACATTAAATTAGTTTTTCCCTATTTCTCCCTGTTATTCAACATTTACTTTTCAGCAAACGGAGAGGTTCAACTCATCTAGTCAAAAATTAATAAAATGTCATTGCATTTTACTGTCTTTAGATTTTCGTAAACTTCCAGAGAAAACATTTACAACGGTTGAAGGAAGTGAAAGGTATAATTTGCGAAGACGGGGATGTGGAGGAAAATGATACCCGCCTGGACAAAGTAGACTTATTCCTCAGACACAGGAGCTTTTGCAAGAGACCAGCCGTAAATATCAGCTCCATCATTTATACGAACTTTTCTTTTCAGTAACAGATGTACTCTCTCTTCAATTCATACCTGTACGCTACGAAGAGTATAGCGGGAGCAATGATGTGAAACTGCATGTCATTCGCTAAGTACCAGGCCCAACCAAAGCACTGTAGAGAAAAACATCGGCAGTTATGGCCACAATTCCATTGGACACATACAAAAAACTAACAGAGGAAAACATCGTACATCCATTTGGAGTACTCAAAAAACTGCAGTTCTGGCCACAATTCTTCTGGCCACATTTAAAAACAGGCAGAAGGTCCTCGACGCTGCCTTAAGGCCTGGCCAAACGCACGCAAAATTTCAACGCAAAATCTTGCAACATTGTTGCGAGCAATGTGTTGCACACTTTTGGCCACCCTGTAGCAACACGTTGTGACATGTTGGATGGTTTTGGACCAAGTTGAAAATGGTCAAAGTTTTGTTGCAACATTTTTGGACGTTGCAAGATGTTACGCGCGTTTAATCAGCTTCTTCACGATTTAAAAATGTTGCAGGACATCGCGTTGAAATGCCCAAAAAATTTCTCTGACTGACGTAAGGGAAGCAAAGGCAGGAGGGAAGTCCTGAACTCCTGATTCAGTCTCACGCATCACATGTATAAAAGGAGGACTTCCAATCTTCCTTTAGTGGAGGTTTTCGCCGGACACATTGGTTCATAATGCAAGAATTACGCTCGCCTATCTGCACAATTCACACATCACCCGTTTCAGCCTTAATCGCGTGTCACGTATAAATACTTTGTCACCCTCTAATGTTAATACTTAGGGAAAATTCTCACTGATGCATTCATGCTAGTTGGATAGAAGTTGTTAATGTAGAGTAAGTTGGTCCACCAATACTTGTCGCACGGGTTCTTTGCCTGTGCTTGATACCAAAGAGGGCCGTCACCAAGAAATCCATTCAGTTTGTCGTAAAACAACAAAACGAACATGTAAGCTGGAGTTAATCTGGGGAAAGATATGAAAAAATCCATTACACGAGGATCACTACCCAAACTTGTTATAAAAAACTATCACAATGCATCAGGCACTGACCTAGAGAGAGCAAATTATCAATGTCTACCTGAATGAAAATCATTTAAACGTAAAAAAAGCTTCATAAACCATTGGAAAATTGTTTCTATCCCAGCCATTACTAAGGTGGATGAAAATTTGACACTTATGGCAGTTCTGAGGTTCCAACCTATGCGCTGGGAAATTATCTGCAAATGTCCTTCGAATCCAAGTACGGACGCCACCATTTTGAAATATCTCAGTAACCTGGCCGCATACGCAAAACCACAACGCCGCACGTCACAAATAACTTCTGCTTTAGTCATAACTACAATTATAGACAAAAGCAATTAAAACTGTCTTTCTATGTGGCTTCTAACTACTGAAACTCAGCCGGTTGGTAATCTCCTCTTCAGCCATCGACTTGGTTTGTTACGCAACATATCACGAAGATCTTTGAGGTTTGTAAATAGACTAAGAGAGATGATAAATTTGGAGTTGTTTCAACCTGTGGACTTAACGATGACGAATTTAAAAATTGTCAAGCGAGGAAAAAACTTACCTCCAAAAACGATGGAAGTAGTACTTAAAAAGTGGCAGCTGTCCATTTTTCTTCTCCATGTGACGCAAAGACAAATACGAAACCAGGAGACCACTGTGAAAAAAAAAAAAGGTTAATTACATAAACTGCTGTGTTTTACAATTAAGAATTTCCTTTTCTGAAAGAAGCCGTAACAGCACACGCGTAAAATTACGACAATTTTCCACGAGTTTGACACCGACAATCAGCTGCTGACACGTAACTTACCTTTTGCGCCAATCTGTCAGGTTAATGAATGAATGACAGAGCCTTCACCATTCTCCATCTGACGTCGTTTATCGAAATTTTCTCGGATAATGGCTGCTAACAACACTGAATAATTCGTATCGCTTACAAAAGATGACGTAAAAATTTTCCCAGAAGCGGAAGAAAACCAAAATAATAGAAAAACCGAGTTTTGCTTGGCTTTGGCAATGGCACTTTCCGCCGATTTTTGCCCTGTAACCGAGCAGATTTCTTCTGTTAGTACGGAAAAAGTCGATAACTGAGAATTCGGTGAATTGAAAGTTGTGCCCACAGCTTGGTTTTGTTATGATTCCGCGCATTTCATTAATCTTGAATCTTGTTGCGCCTACGCAGTTAACGACCTTTTTTCGCAGATTGTGGATCCATTCATTCATTCATTCATTCATTAAGTCGAGTTTCTTATTAATAAAAACGTATTTTGTTTATACACTAAACAAAATAATACACTGTTGCTTTTAGATGTGGAATTTCTCTTCTCGTGTTTAACTCGATATCTTACGTGTTCGCTGTGCTCACTCGTGAGCTACCGAGTTGAACACTGAAAGAGAAATTCCATATCTACGTGCGCCCGTGTATTATTCTCTATTTAATACATGAGATGTAAGTACTTAGTAATAACTAAAACATCCTTCTGCATAATACCATCGCAAATTGCCGATGATAAGAAGTATCCTCTACCGGTAAAGAGAGTGGCCTTTAACAACGTTAGGGAAACGACTCCTTCGTTAGGATTGGGCGACAACAAACCACAGATCTCATAGACTTGCAATTAAACTGATGTATTAAAAGAGTAGAAATAAATAAAAAATTGCGAAGGGCAGCCTTGTGAAGTGTCTTGATTACCCCTATGCATTATGAACATCTCCCTTAGAAAGAAATAAATACAAAAATTACACCATAAACTAAATAAGGTAGCCGTCTACTACATACCTCAGGAAGAAGAAACTGTCCACCGAAAAGGTAGCATTGCCAATAGCTTCAAACGTAAATCGTTGTATGATTTGGAGTAGGAGGAGGAGGTTACCTACAGATTAAAAAAAAAAAAAGAGAGAGAGAAATACGAATGATGTACGGTACTTCGTACCCGTGGAAAGACCAGCTTGAAATATGCCATTCGCAGGTGAATCAAATAGTAAACAATAATGACAATTTTCTGACAATTTTCCGTCCCAGATCAATTGCGGCTTCGCCGCTTATTTTCATGGCTCCGCCAATTGTAGGCTCGATAGAGTGCGGAAAAAACAAAACCAAAGAAATCACAACTGCGAGTCAGTACAAAGGACAATAAAATCCACGTTTTTCTTTCTCTATTTCTTTACCGAGCTTAAAAACTAACCATCTTTTTTATTCTTCCTACTCAAGATTGGTTTTCATTTTGAATCTGTTTGGTTGAGAAATCAAACGATTTTTTTAAAAAATCACGGCGAAGTAGAGCAAAACCAAACCCATACAATTGTCAACAGTCGATCAAAAATTGCTTTATGAAGTGAACAATACTTACTCATAGTTGATACAGTTTGAAACGCATAAACATGTCCCAGGATCACCCACCACATACTCATCACTCTCATTCCATTGATTGACGTGATGGCACTGGCAGGGACTTTGGTGTCCATAATACGGCTTGTGTTTTTAATTAATGAGAAACACAGAAAAAACTGCACCACTACATCTATGGGAATGTAACAGAGAAAGAAGAAATAAGGATTGAATTTATTTCATCAACGACTCTTGAGGAGTGGTTCCAGTGCACGGTAAACCGAAAGTATTTGCATTGTTCTGGTTTCTTGATCAGTGGACCCTCGTTACATATCTGACCCCTATCTTCCCCGTCATTAATAAATTAGCGTATCTGAGTAGCAAAAATTCCACAATGTGAAGAAAATCTGAAACCGACCAGGGCTGCCTGAACTTCGCTAAAAAATATGAACAAAAACTGAAGAAGAAGCAAACATGTTCGATGTGCGAGCAACGACGCCCGAGACCTAGACGATCAGAAGGAAAAAAACCTACCAGTAATGGCCCAAGCGAACGTTTGTGAGCAATGGAAGCCATGTTACGCGTTACGCCATTAAATTGGATGCTAAAATTCGCAAAAAATATAATTATCGGGTTTTCTTCAAAAATTTAGGTTTGTTTAATGTATTATTATTTCTTTTTTTATCTTGGAGAGTTAAGTTTGAACGTGATACGTGATAATGGTGAACTCGCAAATTGTGTTCTTGTGCGGCTAGTACTTATTGCATCCCTGGATCGTGCAACTGATCTTTTTGTTTTCAACTACGACTCTATTTGCAATTTTGAAGAGCCAAACAGAGGTTCTTGCCTTTTGAAAATCCTACTTCAAGGACTTCTGTTCAAATTCAACGGCAAAGAAGTTCGTAAAAAGAAAAATACGGTTAGAGCTGCATTCACAAATAAGGAAGTACTGCCATGGCAGACCCATCCTTAGGAATAAATTGATCAACAGGCTCACTTCTTCGAAGGGAAGAAAACGCTATCTACTGGATAAAGATATCTATATATTATGGATAGCGCAGTATGATCCGATGAAAAGCGATTCATCCGTTAGATAGCGTTGTCCGTTCTTTAAACATCAGGGTCCTCTACTTACTTGGCTCATCTTTCCTCTGGGGAAAACTTGAAAGCCTGGAAGATGCACTAATTGCCACTTCAGGGGATGGGTTCAAAAATTGCGTGGTGTCACTGCTATGCGTGCCACTTCCTGTGAATGAATCAGGAACATCACCTTCAAGTGTTACCGGGGATTCATCTCTGATTGGCATGAAGCCATTGCTTTTGTTGACAGGTGCGGAGGGTTTCTTCGAAAAGCTTATAAAAATGTCGCAAAGTGTTCCAACAAGGCAGAGATACAGGATTAGACCACACAAGATCCTGTGAACAGTTATTAAAATTATTAATAAGAAGAATAATGATGTTTTAATTATCTTGAAAACTACATGGCATCTGATTAAAGTGTTTGATTACATGCAAATTATTTTCAAACCCTTTTGTTTGTAAACTAATACCTGAACAATAACTATTCTCTGTGTTTAAAAAAGTGCAAAACATTGGTTGTAATTTGATTATTAGGAAAGAGGCCACTTAACCAGTACATACACATGCATTTATTCTTCACAGCCTAGAAGTGATTGGCATGTAACTTCTCCCTATACTATCTGAACATCATCCACCAAACAGGTGATGTGATGGATCAATATCAGTATCTGGGCAACTGCCCACCTATCCCCCCCCCACCCAACAACAGTCAGTTGATAACAAGTTAGGGTTAATGTTGGGTTAGGGGAGGGGTAGGTGGGCAGTTGCCCAGATGCTGATATTGATCCGTTGGGAATAATCAAACTTATCAAACTAAAGTTATCTTCACCTTGTTAAGGAAATGTGTTGCAGCTAGCAAGGAAGAATTTACAATCAGATCTTGGGAGTTAAGGGTTTAAAACATATTCAAGTTCGATTTGTATGCAAGTATTAAAAGCAATTGTAAACATAGGCGTGTGTAGCATGCAAGAATTATTTTTTTGGCTGAGCAGGTTGAGATCGGACTCTTTGTGTACCTAATGTTTTCATTTCTGTAACAGAAAAAGACCATAACTTTCAAATGGATGAATATATAGTATTACTTCAATCACCTTAAGAGAAACAAAAGGAAAGAAACCTAATTTATCTGCATTCACACAAGTATTTTGTGGTCTATTGTCTACATACTTTTAAACAAAAATAAAATGCATAGGTGCCACACTTACTGTTGTTTCCCTCACAGCCGTTATTTGGTCTTGTCACACAACACCATATATTCCCCATTGGGAGAGTGTATTGCATGATGAGACCAAATAATGGTTGTGAAAGAAACTAAGCTAACTACCGTTCCTCCAACAGAGAGAAAACAAAAATTATTCGTCTACCATTAGTTGCCTCAAAAATATAATTCTACATAATTTTCAAAACAAAAAGCAAACTGAAACTTTGTTGTATTTCCAATATACCCTAACCAAGGATATGCTGTGATCTCCAATAAGTGAAGATACATTGAACAAGAGAAAAGGATAATATTTCAAAGAGGGCTTCTTGATTGGTTTTTATCTATCTGGACTTTACCCTGTATGTGTGAGAAATATGTGATAAATGCAGGTTGTTTACAAGGAATTAACACACTAGTTGGTTGAGTCCAAGGTAGCTAAAAGCCAATTTTATTAGTAAGTCAAAACATGGGAGAATTGCTTGGAAAATATACCATCAGTAGCATTTAGTTCCATGAGAATTTTTTTCAATGGGGTTGGACAATGTGGTTATAATACCTGATTAAATGCAGGTTGTTTACAAGGAAATGACACATGATGGAGCAAAGTCTAATTTGGTAAAATAGAATTTGATCGGTGGAATACAATTCAAGCACATGAAAAATTGCCTAATGGTTATGTAATGCAGTGATTTGGTATGTTCTGATTAGACTTTGGATGTTGTTTTCATAGTGTGTGATGGAATGTAAGTTGATCAGCATGTGAGTTGCGTGTAAAGGAGCAGAAAAAACATGTTTTAACTTTAAAATGATACAAAAAGTTATACGCCAACCTTTCATACCCCGGTAAATCTCAACCTCAACTGTCAAGGCTCTCGCAAAGGACACAAACTACTACACTTATCAATATTAGCCCAAAATTTATGGTTTATGTCATTCTTTGTGCACAGCCCCTTGATTCCATGACATCATTTGCAAAAAAGCTGTGATATGATTGACATGAGATACATACCCTAAATGCTGTGACTGGTGTGAGATATCTAAATGCTGTGATATAATTGGTGCAAGATACATACCCTAATGCAGCAATCTGATTGGTGCAAGATACATACCCAAATGCAGCAATGTGATTGGTGCTTACAACATACCACTCTATACACTAACATAGAGTTATTTTTTTTTATTAAATGAAAATAACTCAATAAAAATTCTTGTATGTACTTACAGAGTGAGTATTACTCCAGTTGTGTATTCTGATTTCTTCTGACAGTAAACAGCTTTGCCGCTTGGTGGCAGTCCATATCCTTTCTGAGGCCTTAATTCTACCTCTGTCCTATTCATATACTTATTGATTCCTATGTGGAAATAAAAAAATAATAATAAAACCAAGACTTAACTACTCAAAAATTCTAACATTCCAGCTTTCACCTGACTTGTACTATCTTGGGAATACTACCTTACTAGACTAAGTATAAAAATTGTGATTGTACACACCTGTAAACATATCTTGCAGTCCTGCTGTAACATCCTTTTCACTGCATTGTTTTGGAGCACAAATACCCCAGCGCACAGGAATAGACTAGTCAGGTAACAAAGACAAATGATGACTGCATGCACAGTTATGTACCATCTAAGCTCACTCATTACATCCTACAGGGTTTATTAACCACTGGATATTGGATAAATCTCTAATTGTTGATTCTCAAAGGCCTGAGTTGTTTATTTTACTTCAGATGTGCTCAGTATTCTATCTTTACTTAAAACCTTTCACTCCCACTTCTCATTAGAAATGCTGCTTACTGTCTGCAATACAATTCTTCTAATGTAAGTTCTGAGCATTTGGTATTGGATCAACTGACAATCCCCTGATTTAGCAGAAAATGCTTTAAAATCTTGGAAAAGTGGAATAGGTAAATAAGTTTCTTTAGTTATTATAATACAATAGATTTAAAATGTTTTGTAAGAACTCAATCAAATATTTTTAATTCATAATTTAACATTGTGTTAAAATTTATATACTACTAACCTCAGTAATAGTTAGGGGAGGCTGTGGAAAAGCCACATAGGCCAAACAATAGTGGGCATCAGGAATACTTTCAGTACACTCACTGTAAGATCCTAACCAACCAGTGTTACCCAGAAAAAGTCCACTTTGAGGTTTACCAATAGCATCCAAATCTGAAGTAAATAGACAGCCACCAGCTATTGTAAGTTGATATGTACTACTAGTATTTTAACTATCAATGTATAGTAATGTAGTTATCAAAATGATTGACTTTACCACAATAACCATTATCACCATTTAGAACACCATATCTCAACTGAGACAACACAATAAGACCAGCCAATGATGCAACAGCCAAGATAAACTTCTTGCAATATAAAAAAATGTAAAATAGTTGCAGATGAAAGACTCAAAAAATTAAACAATCTATCAATTTTTGTCTAAAAAACCTGAACACAGTGCTGGTTTATCTGTCTCCCATTCCCACACATAATTAGCAGTTGCAATCAGCGTTTCGCCGGGGGGCTGGCTCTTGTCCACAATGGCGGGGTGTCCGTAATAGTGAGGTGTCCGCAAGGCGAGAATCGACTGTATTTAGTGACAAAACCATCAGCTGAACTACTATTCATTCTAAGAGTGCCAGTTTGCTACTCGCAGTCTAAGAGTGTTATCTCTCAATCGAAATACACTTAAAACAATGACTCAAGTTCGTCTCTCAATATTTGAAAGTCATACTCTGTGAGACTATCGACGAAATTCGAACGGATCGTCTGGAGTACAGGCGGTCGATAGCGGATTCTACCAGACGGTGTAGTACGTTGCACAAACCTCAGGGGTAGTTAAACTGCTACAATTTATTTATAGTCGTCACCTCAGAGAGTTGACCCTTTAAGAAGTTGACAGAAACCACCGTACGCAAATACGTTGTTCCTTTACTCAGGTATAAAATTAAATTCAATCGAGCTACCGAAATTATCCATAGTGTTTAATCGACCTTAAAGGGATCAGAGAACATTGAGACCAAGAGAAGTATTCAGCGATCAGTTTCCTCTTTGGCCGTGAGATAAAGGTAAAAAAAAGATATCACGATTTCTTGATCACCTGACATCTAGTATCAAAACCGGTTCACATGACATCATGCTAAAGATAGAACTGGACGGTACTTGCGGTTCGTACAGAAAAAAAGGTTAGGCAAAGTTTATAAGGAGAGTTAAGTTGGTCATTTTGTCACGCAACTATTAAGGCTAATATTCGAGATTCCTAACCGAAAAGTTGGAAATTAGACGCGCCATACTCACAACTATAGAATAGCGGCGAACTGAACGATGAAAGTTTCTGGACGATAGCTTGGCACTCTTCGGAGACGTCTGAGAAATTAAATTTCGGGAGTGGAAATGGGAATGGAAAGCCAAACTGCCGAGCGATGTGACTGTTGCCTTCCCAAACGGATCCAGGAGATGAAGATGAACATCTCTGAAGCACAGAAAAGGTGACGAACACAGCAAAGGATTTAACAGCAGCTGTCTTCGTTGTTGCACAACTCGCCATGATGAGGCCGGACGATAAGCCGTAACGAAATGTGATGTCATGACGATGAGAAAGCGTATAACACTCGATAACTGAGAGAGAGAGACTGGAAACGACAGCTATTCTTGGAGATTGCGATTAGGCCCTATGTGAGCAACGCGAATCAACGAAAGGTTTGTAAGGGAATTTGACACTTGGATGTAACGAAATGCTCGTCCGTGAACAACTTGAGACGACGAAATAGAATCAGCAATCGAGCTAGAACGCAATCTTGAAAAACTAACGACAAACGCCCTGAACAGTCTTGGAAAGTAAAATAAATCATGAAAATTTTTTACTTGTTTGTTTCTCTTTGGTGGTTGATATGATTAATGTGAGAAAAAGAAAATGTAACAACGTAAGTTATTTGGTATTTCTGTCTATTTTTCTCTCTCTCTCTTTTTTTTCCATTTCGGTGAGTTTCTGTATGTTTGATTTTTATACAAGAGGGTGAATCTTTTAAACCCCCTTACAGAACCCCAAGACCCTCTCCCCTTTAACTTTCTATACGCCCACTGGCAAAGAATGTCCATATGGAAAAAAAGTGTTCATGAAACTACTTTACAGCTTCAGCGGAGTGCTTGCAGCGTAGCACCATAAGTAAGATAATATGGTAAGTCATCAAGACGCGAAAACATAATCATGACGTTGGGACTGTGTCCGTCCGTCGCAACATTACGCTCTTTCATGTCTGTGTTACATGCGACTTGAAACGAAGCTTTCCGGATTTCGGCTTGGCCAAATCTATTCTTTGCAGCGCTCAATAAGATATCTCATATTCTCGTTCCAAATTGACCAAGGATGAAAGTATAAGTAGCTTATAGAGTGTTCTGGAACAACATTGAACGTTGCAGTCTGATTGTCCGGGTGGGAGTAGTTCTGAGGAGGACTGTTGTCGTTAATAGTAACTATCCTTTCGACAACCTCAGCGGAAATCATCATTAGTGTCGAGTCTCGACACAAATCTACGTCGATCACTTTAGTTTTTACAGTAGTTTTTTTCAGGTCATATTTGTGCACTCCTCTACAGACCACCTAAAATGAAGGAAACACAAATCTACGTCGATCACTTTAGTTTTTACAGTAGTTTTTTTCAGGTCATATTTGTGCACTCCTCTACAGACCACCTAAAATGAAGGAAAATTGATTGATATTTACAAATAGCGGATTATCAAAAATCTTTAAGTTGAGCTGGGGATGTGGATGCATCCAAAGGTCTGCGAGATGTATTTAAAGGTGTGTACACAGCCAATAGGAATATGTTATTTCAAAAGTCCTCAAAGTGGACTTTTTTTTTTTCACCATGGGGACCACTGTAGATTGGTAAATAAAATAATTCTTTTTTTCGGCTGGTTTGCTTTTTTTGAGCATAATTTTAGTTACAAATGATGCTGAAAAAATTCTTCAGTGAAGTCTTGCGATTGGTGTTATAAAAATACATTTATTAATGTGCGCAAATTTTTCTCTCTTTCTACGCAGAACTTTGAAAATGATCATCATTTATGGAAATTGCCTTCGCTAATTACCCTTACGTTTAATTTCTTAATTTAATTTCTTGAGAAAAAGCCCCTGTTCCCATAGCTTGGTGCGGCATGCGAGTGCAATATTTTCCAAAATAAGACTCTACTGGTAGACTGAACTTTTACAGAAAATGCTTCTCTGGTCAAGGAATGAATGTAAATCGTGAGCTACCCTGAGGAAAATAATCCGCTTTTGACTCCTTTGTCCCTACGGAAGTCTAATTTGGAGCATATCAACTTCTCATTACTCTAAAAGGTAATTCTCCCCATGGATCACTGACATTACCCAAGAGAATATTCTCTTGGATTACCGTATTCGCTATTTATGAGAATTTTTTAATTCATAGTAAAAACACCTTTCCCTCATCAGCTAGCACGCGATAGAAATCGAGAACAAAGAATCTAATTGTTTTAGTACAAATCTAGTGGTCATTCCAAACGTAACAACAAGAGAGGCTTGTTGTTCACACCCACACACTATTTGGGTAATCACTTTACTCACTGCTCAATCACAGAAAAGATGGCGAGTAACGAAATCTAGTAAGTTTATCCTAATTCTTAATATCTACCTGCTCATCAATTAATGGCCGGTAAAAGGAGAATTTTTTAACTAATCACTTAAGTTCTAAATTGCAACTATTTTCGCAGCCAAGGATTACAACCCAGGCCTTCAAACCGAAATATTCCTGATCTAGAAATGCATACATTTTGAATTACTATCATGCAAATCACAACTGTTTCCTGCGTTAGCATTTGCGCAAAATCCTTTGGCTTCTGGGTGTTAGTTTCGAAACGCTTAGTTAATACACATTTTATTATCGTTTTTGTTCTGGTTCATTTCTATCAATAAGTCTTTCAATAGTTAATGATTATTACACAATAAGTGTTTTTATCTCCGATCAATTCCCATTTAAGTACACGTGTAAAGATTCTATTTCAATCGCAACTGAATCACTGCTACAAAATCATCGCTGCAAAATCGTAACTGCTAGATAATCGCTACAAGCTATTTGCTACCATTTCTTTAACATTTACGTTGTTTACCTTTTGTATTTGTTATTGGTGTAGTTCTCGTATACAGTTTTCCGTGCAATCGTTTCATTTTTAGTTAGGTTAATGTTACATTTCGCAACGCATTTTTCTTAGTTTAGTTCATGTTGTATTTTCTTTTAGTTCGAACCACACACACACACGCAACCTCAACCGCTACTCTTATCGAGCAAATTTCGTCTTAGCGCTATCATCCAAAAACAATAAAGATCACTGTGTGCGTTCGAATTGTCCGCTCATTCTCTTAGGTAACCTTTTGAGGTTACACTGAGGACAAAGTCAGATGCTAACAACAAAAAATGTTAAAAGCGACTAATTATCAAAAATTATTAATTGCATTGGATGTATTGTGATGACCATAATGATGATCATAACAATACGTGTCAGTGTTAGAATAGTGCATCAACGAATGAAGTGTGCGAGACACTTGCTTCCAGCCATGACATCTGAGCTCAGTTATCGCCTTTGAATATTAACTTCTCCAGCTGCATCATGGGATATTCCACACACACTGACACAATAAAGGCCCCTGCATACGTAATGCCAAGTACACCGACATAACAGAAAGCCTAGAGACCAAACAAAGACAGTTACTTTTAAACCAGCAAACCGCGATACATTAATCCGGAAAAGGCGACGGCCTTTATATTTCTCGGGTCCATGGTCAAAATCATTTTTGCTGGAATGGAAAGCTAATATAAACGTAGCTTCCAAGAGATAACATAAAGTGTTCGCTACAAGGTTTCATTTTTCATATGGAGCGCTTTTCGATTGAGTGTAGTAAAACCAAAACCAAGTTGAACGTAATCAAACCAGTCAATCAGAAGAAGGAAAATATCGCTAACAGCCAAGAAAACTACCTAGAGCGCGGGAAAACGCGGGTAACCAAGTCGAAATTGGTTTCAGTTATGGATCTACTGATTGGTTGAAAAAGTGGCGTAAGTTTATCGACCAATCACAAACCAAAGTAAAGCAAACCAAAGCAATCCCGGATTGCTTTGGACACTCAGATAAAAATGGCTCCATTTTTCACAGCTATTCATTTGGAAGATAAATATATACCTGCTAATTTTCATGGGGTCAAAAGCGTGCGCTTCTAATCGTTATGATGCCAGCGTTTTCACCCAATGTCAGCGTTGTCCCTCACCTAAAAATTCTCTGGCATTTTTCCTTGCTCGCTGTAGAAGTTAGAAGTACTAAATGACCCACTTACCACATGCACATCAGAATATGCCCAAACAGTCTCAAACGAGAGAAACAGAGTGAGGATGATGATGGGGTGAACCAGATAGGCACAGTACGTCAGCCGGCTCAGTGGAATCCAGAATCGAGCCGACAGGAATTTATTCACCAAACCTTGCAACAGAAACAAATCAACAAAAGTTTTTTAATGTAACATTGAGAGATTCTCTAGATATGAAAATAAAAATCACCTGAGATCATTGGTTCGACGGTCAGCCATACATACTGTTAAGGTCACATCTAAGTGAAGTACCATTAATTGTCCCTTTAGACCATCGTTACCGGGGGGAGGGGGGGGGATCACCTGTCCACGGATTAATGGCTGCATTCCGAGGTCACTGAGAGACCTGTCTTTTATACATGATATTAGACAAAATCTAGGCTGTTCTGCACCAGAAAAAAATAAGCCCTACACTACTGAATTTGCCATCAGCAGGAGTTGGATGACTTCTGTAATCCAGCAGGTTTTGTTACAGACAGATCCTTGACTAAAGTTAATAATGAACAGTTCATTTAGCAGTGTAAAATAACATTCTTTAAAACTTTGACTAGGTCCCATAAAACGATCTCCCAATGAGCACAAATACTCTCTGAATTCTAACATCTGTCTCATAACGTTGCAAACTTCTGTAATCCAGCAGGTTTTGTTACAGACAGATCCTTGACTAAAGTTAATAATGAACAGTTCATTTAGCAGTGTAAAATAACATTCTTTAAAACTTTGACTAGGTCCCATAAAACGATCTCCCAATGAGCACAAATACTCTCTGAATTCTAACATCTGTCTCATAACGTTGCAAACTTCTGTAATCCAGCAGGTTTTGTTACAGACAGATCCTTGACTAAAGTTAATAATGAACAGTTCATTTAGCAGTGTAAAATAACATTCTTTAAAACTTTGACTAGGTCCCATAAAACGATCTCCCAATGAGCACAAATACTCTCTGAATTCTAACATCTGTCTCATAACGTTGCAAACTTCTGTAATCCAGCAGGTTTTGTTACAGACAGATCCTTGACTAAAGTTAATAATGAACAGTTCATTTAGCAGTGTAAAATAACATTCTTTAAAACTTTGACTAGGTCCCATAAAACGATCTCCCAATGAGCACAAACACTCTCTGAATTCTAACATCTGTCTCATAACGTTGCAAACAAAAATTAAATAAACAATCAAAAATAGGAGCGAAGTTAGTTATCGAATGGACCCTTGAGAACGGAGGTAATTACATACAAAGCTAGTATTTCAAAATCTATTGTAATTTCTGCACTTCCTTTGACACTCAGCCAGTTATCAATCAAGACGTACCTCCAAGCCCATTATGGCAAGTAAAAATCACCCAAGCTAGTGCCAGGCTCCATGCAAACCGTGAGAAAGTCCCGTATATGATATTCTCAGCGCGAGAGAATGGCACGGGATTATCTTTCCTGGTGACTTTGTACGGACCATACAGAGTAGACAGGGCGAGAGCGATAGCAACACACCAGCCAGCCATGTTGATCAAGTACGTCCGAACCTTCAATAAATTTTATAAAAGTCAGGAAATAACTTTGTATCCTAGGAGCTTAACACACTTCTTTATTATTATTTTTTTTTTAGAGGGAGGGACCATCCTTGTCAGACCTAGTCTGTAACTCTCCCAGCTTTCAGCTGTACATGTACATGACAAGAAGAATTTAGTACCACAACAAAATAACACCCTATTTCTACACCCTATTTATCACAGAGATAAGATGATCGTACTTCTCGAACCCATCCGGAATAGTTTTTGGAAGAAGTTACTGGTTAATCACTCCTTGGCAGACAACTAATAGGCCAAATAAGCCATGGATACAGAGAGACACATACTGACAGAGAGAGATATATACAGACAAACACACAGCCAGACAAATCCACTGACAGACAAACAGAACAGGCAAATAGATAGACACACAAATAACAAACAACATAATTTGGTTTTAATCAACGGGGTTAATAATGTTATTGGCCACTCTAAAGAGTTTCAAGTTGACGTTCGCCCATTAGCCCCTCGTTAGAGCGAATAAAGGGATTTTGGGTTGTGTGTGTGACAGACAGACTGACTGACTGACCGACTGACTGACTGAATCACCAACCGACTGGTTGACTTACTGACTGACTGACTGACTGGCTGATTGACTGACTAACTGACTGACTGGCTGATTGACTGACTGACTGACTGACTGATTGACTGACTAACTGACTGACTGGCTGATTGACTGACTGACTGACTGACTGACTGGCTGATTGACTGGCTGATTGACTGACTGACTGACTGACTGGCTGATTGACTGACTAACTGACTGACTGGCTGATTGACTGACTGACTGACTGACTGACTGGCTGATTGACTGACTGACTGACTGACTGGCTAATTGACTGACTAACTGACTGACTGGCTGATTGACTGACTAACTGACTGACTGACTGGCTGATTGACTGACCGACTGACTGACTGACTGAATCACCAACCGACTGGTTGACTTACTGAATGATTGACTGACTAACTGACTGACTGGCTGATTGACTAACTGACTCACGACTGGCTGACGGAGCGACTGGCTGACTGAAACAGGCCAGCAAACTGACTTCAACTAGCAATGGAAACACAACTCTGATTGTCCTTCTAGTAAAAATGACAAATTGCTCAGTAACATTTATGTGACAAGATTGCCATAATTACGTACCTTGCTAGGAAGTCTCCAGTTCTTTTCGTTGAGAAGTAAGTAGCCAGTTACCATGCCAACAAGATATGGTGAAATACGACAGTAAGGCTTGACGTAAGTCAGAGACATGAAATCCACACCTTTCCGGCTGCAAAATCAATAGATAAATACGCATTGTCTATCACCAGACGATTTTCGCCGATGCGAATAACTAGATATATGAAAGTCATATATTTGAACTGCGGGTAAAGACTTCGATCTTCGCAGTAATGAACAGTACTTGAGCAATGGTGAAAATATAGAAGGTCGTTTTCATATTCACGTCTTTATCCGCAGTTCAAATGTATGACTTTCATATATTTACAGTCATTTATTCATCACTTCACGGGTTTATTTGGAACCAACATAATGACCAGCTCCTTGTTGGCTTGTTAGGTCAGTTGGTAGAACGCTGCACCGGTATCGCAGAGGTCATGGGTTCAAATCGCGTACAGACCTGAATTTTTTTCAGGCCTTATTTTCACTACTGCTCAAGTAGTGTTCATTACTGCGAAGATCGTTTTCATATTGAATTTCATAAGCTGATAATGTAGATTTCTAAAGTTGACGTTTCGAGCGTCAGCTCTTCGTCAGCTTTAGAAACTCTTTACGGTGACCAATATATATTATCATCTCAGTTGACATAGAACCAAATTATCATGTAATATCTCCCTCTGACGCCACACTAAGTTTCTTGAGAAACCTACCCCCTTCCATCGCAGCGGATACTAGCTGAGTCAACCAATCAGGGTTGGTGATTTTTTCATGTAAATTTTCAAAAATTGATAAATTAACACACAATTCACAAGTGCAAAGGTGAATGAGCAGACAAAAGAGGGAGTTCTCACCTTTGTTCCTGAGTTTCTCTACTAGGTATAACGGCGGAAATCTTGTAATGATCATATATAGCAGCTGTGGTGGCGAAACTTATGCTCAGTAAGAACCCAACAATCACAATCAATCCTCGAAGACGAAACCTGAGAAGAAACAAACAAGAACAGATCAGTGCTCTATGAGCAAACTCGTGAATTGACAGATGACTTACACGATTTTTTGGATTATGTTTAATGTTATCTGGTTTAGGGAATTTTGTGGTTTATTGTCATGTTTAGAGTACGAGCAGTAGTTCAGTGTTCGCTAATGTAGCAAAGAAACAAAGTAACGTTGGGATAAGAAGGCATTACAATTGAAATGATCATGCTATTACATTTGACAAGAGTGGATGATGTTATGTGTTTTAAACATATATCATTCTTGTTTCTGGTTCAAAAGAAAAGGTTGGAAGTAAATGTGGAAGCAATACTGTCTTAATGAAAACATTAATGATTCCCTCTTTATCAAATGAGACAAACGGGAACGAGTTCTGAGTGATATCACAAAGCCCAGACTGCCACCGTCATTTTGGATTTCCGCCTGGGTAGATTTTGGTCACTTGCTAGGCAACGTATAATCAAGAACAAGACAGAATTTCATTTCTGGCCTATTTATCAATTTGTGGTGTATAACTATCGCATTTTAGTACGTAACATTTCTTTTGAATCTTCAAATCGTCTTGAAACTTAAAAGAAAGTTGTTTTTTAAAAATTTACTGAAAATCGGTAGCCAAAATTATTTGTTTAGGTGTTATTTGATTTTCGTGTTAACCAGTAATTGCGTCAGTCACCGGCACCTTTTGTTGCTTCACACAGAAAAAACACACGATTCGAAATGTAATGATCGATTTTGTCCCCAATCTCACGCCATAACAGAAAAAGCTTTTGAACACCTGTAAACTCCGAGCGCTTCGTAGTAAGTGATATTTTTAATGAATATTCAGATTGTTTTCAAGTTCAAGGATTGTAAATTACAATTTTATGAAAAACGAAGGTTGTTCTTTTATTTCAGTGTGAATGCTCGCACGCCTGCTAGTCGCTGGCGCCGCTTGTTGAAACTAAAACGAAAAAAAAAAACTCTTTTAAGATTATCATTGGCTTCCTTTTCACCCCACCCACTATTCTTGTTTACTACTCGCCAAAAACTATCAAATGCACTCAAAATCCTAAAATCGAAAACAAGTTTACAGGAATCGACCAATCGAGCGAGCGAGCGAGCGAGTGAGTGCCATTCTCCACATCATAACTACAACTCGCTCTTGCGCATGCGCGCAATTCACGAGTTAAAAAGAAGTTAAAAATGAATCAACCTTGGTTTACCTCTCCTAATCTATAGAAAATGAAATCTTCCGCGTAGAAGAAAAAGTATTTCCAAGGAAAACATTAAATTAGTTTTTCCCTATTTTTCCTGTTATTCAACATTTACATTTTAGCCAACAGAGAAGTTCAACTCATCGAGTCAAAAACTGATAAAATGTCATTGCATTTTACTGTCTTTAGATTTTTGTAAACTTCCGAGAAAACATTTACAACGGGTGGAGGCAGTGAAAGGTATAATTTGCGAGGGCGGGAATGTAGAGGAAAATGATACCCGCCTAGACACAGTAGAATTATTCCTCAGACACAGGTTTTGTAAGAAACTGGCAGTAAATGTCAGCTTCAATATTTGTTCGAACTTTTTTTTTTGATAACAGATGCACTCTCTCTTCAGTTCATACCTGTACGCGACGAAGAGTATGGCGGGAGCAATGATATAAAACTGCGTGTCATTTGCTAGGTACCAGGCCCAACCAAAGCACTGTAGAGAAAAACATCGTACATCCATTTGGACTACTCCAAAAAACTGCAGTTCTAGCCTCAATTCTACTGAAAACAGGCATAAGGTCCTTGACGCTTCCTTAAGGCCTGGCCAAACGCACGCAAAATTTCAACGTAAAATCTTGCAACGTTGTTGCGAGCAATGTGTTGGACACATTTGGCCACCCTGTAGCAACATGTTACGACATGTTGGACGGTTTTGGATAAAGTTTGAAAATGGTCAAAGTTTTGTTGCAACATTTTTGAACATTGCGAGATGTTACGCGCGTTTAACCAGCTTCTTCACGATTTAACAATGTTGCAGGACGTAGCGTTGAAATGTTGCGTGCGTTTGACTGGGCTCTTAAACCATACCACTAACCGACGATAATTGCCCAAAAAATTGCTCTGACTGATGTGAGAGGAGCAAAGGAAGGAGGAGTGTCCTGAACTCCTCATCCAGTCTCACGCATCACATGTATAAAGGGAAGACTTCTAAACACACTGGTTCATAATGCACGAATTACGCTCGCCTATCTGCACAATTCACACATCACCCATTTCAGCCTTAATCACGCGTCACGTATAAACACTTTGTCAGCCTCTAATCTCACCGATGCATTCATGCTAGTTGGATAGAAGTTGTTAATGTAGAGTAAGTTGGTCCACCAATACTTGTCACACGGGTTCTTTGCCTGTGCTTTATACCAAAAAGGGCCGTCACCAAGAAATCTATTCAGTTTGTCGTAAAACAACAAAACGAACATGTAAGCTGGAGTTAATCTGGGGAAAGATATGAAAAAATCCATTACGCGAGGATCACTACCCAAACTTGTTATAAAAAACTATCACAATGCATCAGGCACTGACCTAGAGAGAGCAAATTATCAATGTCTACCTGAATGAAAATTATTTAAACGTAATAAAAGCTTCATAAAGCATTGGAAAATTGTTTCTATCCCGGCCATACGAGGGTGGACGAAAATTTAACACTTATGGCAGTTCTGAGGTTCCAACCTAAGCGCTGGAAAATTATCTGCAAATGTCCTTCGAATACAAGAACGGACGCCGCCATTTTGAAATATCTCAGTAACCTGGCCGCATACGCAAAACCACAACGCCGCACGTCACAAATAACTTCTGCTTTTGTCATAACTAGAATTATAGACAAAAGCAATTAAAACTGTCTTTTTATGTGGCTTCTAACTACTGAAACTCAGCCGGTTGGTAATCTCCTCTTCAGCCATCGACTTGGTTTGTTACGCAACATATCACGAAGATCTTTGAGGTTTGTAAATAAACTAAGAGAGATGATAAATTTGGAGTTGTTTCAACCTGTGGACTTAACGATGACGAATTTAAAAATTGTCAAGCGAGGAAAAGACTTACCTCCAAAAACGATGGAAGTAGTACTTAAAAAGTGGCAGCTGTCCATTTTTCTTCTCCATGTGACGCAAAGACAAATACGAAACCAGGAGACCACTGTAAAAAAAAAAGTTAATTACATAAACTGCTGTGTTTTACAATTAAGGATTCCCATTTCTGAAGAAAGCCGTCACAGCACACGCGTAACGATAATTTTCCACGAATTTGATATCGCCAATCAGCTGCTGACACGTCACTTACCTTTGGCGCTAATCTCTCAGGTCAATGAATGAATGGCAGAGCCTTCACCATTCTCCATCTGACGTCATTTGTCGAAATATTCTTGGGCAATGGCTGCTAACAACACTGAATAATTCGTATCGCTTACAAAAAGTGACGTTAAAATTTTCCTAGAAGCGGAAGAAAACCCTTTTTCGCCGATTTTTGCCCTGTAACCGAGCAGATTTCCCTTGTCAGTACGGAAAAAGTCGATAACTAAGAATTCGGTGAATTGAAAGTTATGCCTACTGTTTGTTTTTGTTATGATTCCACGCATTTTATTCATCTTGAGCCTTATCGCGCGGATTACGGATCCTTTCATCCATTCATTAATTAATTAATTTTCTTATCAATAAAGGCGTATTATGTTTGTATATTAAACAAAATAATACATAGTTGCTTGTATATGTGGAATTTCTCTTCTCGTGTTTAACTCGATATCTCACACGTTCGCTGCGCTCACTCGTAAGCTACCGAGTTGAACACTGGAAGAGAAATTCCATATCTACGTGCGCCCGTGTATTATTCTCTATGTAGTACACGAGGTGTAAGTACTTAAAATAACTAAAACATCCCTCTGCGTTATACCATCGCAAATTTCCGATGATAAGAAGCACCCTCCACCCGTAAGAAGAGTGGCCCCTAACAACGTTAGGGAAACGACCCCTTCATAAGGATTGGGCGACAACAAACCACAGATCTCTTATGCCCCATTCACACCAAAGCTTAAACATGTTTAAAAGCTGTTTTGTTAAACACGGTTTAATTTTTTTTTTCTTCATAGAAACTATTTAACCGAATATTTTTGACTTGAATGTAGCACATTGGAAATGCAAGTTAGCAAGTACTTGAATCCAATGGACAATCAAGTTTTTCAGTTCTCTGTTTATAATTTTCATTCAATGAAAACCAGTTTAACAAAACATGTTTTGCTGGTGTGAATGGGGTATTAGACTTGCAATTATATGTATTCAAAAACTACAAATAAATAAAAAATTGCAAAGGGCAGCCTTGTGAAGTATCTTCATTACCCTTGTACATTGTCAATGTCCTCCTCAAAAAGAAATACATAAAAAAATTACACCATAACCTCAAATAAGGTAACTGTCAACTACATACCTCAGGAAAAAGAAACTGTCCACCGAAAAGGTAGCATTGCCAATAGCTTCAAACGTAAATCGATGTATGACTTCAACCACGGAGAGGAGGTTACCTACAGCTAAAAAAAAGAGAGAAATACGAATGATGTAAGGTACTTCGTAAACAATTCTCTTTATTGCAGGCGTCATATTTAACAAGGATCATTCATTGAAAGCAATCTAGAAATAAAAAGCCCATTATTTTCTCTCGCTGAAAATCAAAGAACACGTAAAGGAGTCGCACGTTCATGTGTAAATGTTAAGTTAGGAAACCGGTACAATGATAACGCAGGGTTGACTTAGCTAGTGGTAGCCCTTCAAGAATAATCTGAAGCACAAACACAAGTAATGCATTTTCAGCACTGAGAACGACCAACCGGGGAAAGACCTAGCTTGAAATATGCCGTTCGCAGGTGAATCAAATAGTAAACATTAAAGAAAAAACACAAGGAGAGACTCCAATTCTAGCGATTTTATTGTATTCCAACTGGCGGTTTTATTGTGCGCTTCACAGCAACAAGAGGCTGACAATTTTCCGTCCCAAATCGCTTGCGGTTTCGCCGCTTATTTTCATGGCTCCGCCAATTGTAGGCTCGATAGAGTGCGGAAAAAACAAAACCAATGTAATCACAACTGCGAGTCAGTACAAAGGACAATAAAATCCACGAGCCTATAAGAATTAAAGGAAAACGCAAACGAAAACTTGACTGAGTAATCAATTAGTCAAGATTAGAGAAAGATGTTTTCGTCTTGTCACGAGCGTGGGACAAAAAAAATTAGTACCCATGAAGAATTGAACTACAGACCTTCCGATTCCGCACTCCGATGCCACAGAGACTCTACGGTGAGTAAGGCCCATTACGAAGTTCATATATTACACGCTTACTGCATACTGCTCGAATGAGCAGTGTCGATAGTGTCATATGTTGTAAATAGAATAATAAAGATGGTTAGTTTTTAAGCTCGGTAAAGAAATAGAGATAGATGGGTGTTTTTCTTCCTCTATTTCTTTACCGAGCTTAAAAACATATCATTCTTCCTACTCAAGATTAGTTTTCATTTTGAATCTGTTTGGTTGAGAAATCAAACGAATTTTCTAAACCAATCACAGCGAAGTAGAGCAAAACCAAAACCCATACAATTGTCAACAGTCGATCAAAAATTGCTTTATGAAGTGAACAATACTTACTCATAATTGATACAGTTTGAAGCACATAAACATGTCCCAGGATCACCCACCACATACTCATCACTCTCATTCCATTGATTGACGTGATGGCGCCGGCAGGGACTTTGGTGTCCATAATACGGCTTGTGTTTTTAATTAATGAGAAACACAGAAAAAATTGCACCACTAAATCTATAGGAATGTAACAGAGAGAGAGAGAGAGAAAATAAGGACTGAATTTATTCCATCAACGACTCTTTAGGAGTAGTTCCAGTTCACAGTGAACCGAAAGTATTTGCATTATTCTGGTTCTTGATCAGTGGACCCTCGTACCGTATCTGACCCTTATCTTCATAAATTAGCTATCTGAGTGGCAAAAATTCCACAATGCGAAGAAAATTGAACGTTTGTTCAAATTCAACAGCAAAGAAGTTCGAAAAGAGAAAAATACGGTTAGAGCTGCACACACAAATAAGGAAGTACTGCCATGGCAGACCCATCCTTAGGAATAAATTGATCTGCAGGTTCAGTTGTTTGAAGAGTGGAAAACGCTATCTACTAGACAAATATATCTCCACATTGTGGATAGCGCAGTATGATTCGCTGGAGAGCAATCATCCGTTGGATAGTGTTATCCATTCTTTAAATATCAAGTCCCTCTACTTACATGGCTCATCTCTCTTCTGGGAAAAACTTGTAAGCCTAGTCGATGCACTAATTGCCACTTTAGGGGATGGGTTCATGAATTGCGTGGTGTTACTGCTATGCGCGCCACTTCCTGTGCATGAATCAGGAACATCACCTTCAAACGTTACTGAGGAGTCGTCTCTGATTGGTATGTAGCCATTTCTGTTGTTGACAGGTTCAGAGGTTTTCTTCAAAAAGCTAATCACAATGTCGCTAAGTGTTCCAATAAGGCAGAGATACAGGATTAGACCACACAAGATCCTGTGAACAATTATTAAAATTATTAATAATAAAAATAATGATGTTTTAATTATCTTGAAATCTACATGACATCTGATTAAAGTATTTAATTGTATTTCAAATTTTCAAACGTTTTTGTTGATAAACTAATATCTGAACAGTAACTATTCTCTGTGTTTAAAAAAAATGCAAAACATTGTTTTTAATACCATTATTAGGAAAAAGACCACTTAACTAGTACACACACATGCATTCATCCTTTACAGCCCAGAAGTGATTGACAAGTAATTTCTCCCAATACTATCAATACATCATCCACCAAACAGGTGATGTGAATATTCAAACTTATCAAACAAAAGTTATCTTGACCAACAGTAGTTAAGGAAATGTGTCACAGCCAGCAGGGAAGAATTTACAATCAGATCTGGGAGTTAAGAGTTTAACACATATTAAAGTTCAATTTGTATATACGCATTAGAAGCAATTGTAAAAATAATCCTTGCACATACTTACAGAGTGAATATTACTCCTGTTGTGTATTCTGATTTCTTATTGCAGTGAACAGCTTTGTCGCTTGCTGGAGGTCCATATAGGTTAGAAATCAGCCTTAATTCTACCTCAGTCTGATTCATATACTTGTTGATTCCTGTGTGGAAACAAAAAAATAAACAGATAAACCAAAGACTTAACTACTTAAAAATTCTTACATTCCAGCTTTCACCTGACTTGTGCTATCTTGGGAATACTTTCTCACTAGATTAAGTATAAAATTGTGATTGTACACACCTGTAAACATATCTTGCAGTCCTGCTGTAACATCCTTTTCACTGCATTGTTTTGGAGCACAAATACCCCAGCGCACAGGAATAGACTAGTCAGGTAACAAAGACAAATGATGACTGCACAGTTATGTACCATAATTTTAGGCTCACTCAGTACATCTTACAGGGTTTATTAACCACTGGAAATTGGAGAATTCTCTAATTGTTGATTCTCAAAGGCCTGAGCTGTTTATTTTAGTTCAGGTGTGCTCAATATTCTATTTTCACTTAAACCTTTCACTCCTTGTTCTCATTAGAAATGCTGCTTACTGTCTGCTATACAGTTCTTATGATGGAAGTTCTGAGCATTTGGTATAGGATCAACTGACAATCCCCAGATTTAGCAGAAAATGCTTTAAAATCTTGGAAAAGTGGAAATTGAAGGTAAAATAAGTTTCTTTAGGTATTACAATACAATAGATTTAAAATGTTTTATAAGAATTTGATCAATTATTTTTAATTCACAATTTAACATTGTGTAAATTTATGTACTACTGACCTCCGTAATGGTTAAGGAAAGCTGTGGAAAAGCCACATTGGCCAAACAATAGTGGGCATCAGGAATGCTTTCAGTACACTCACTGTAAGATCCTAACCAACCAGTGTTACCCCAAAAAAGTCCACTTTGAGGTTTACCGATAGCATCCAAATCTGAAGTAAACAGACAGCCACTAGTTATCAAAATGATTGACTTTACCACAATAACCATCATTACCATTTAGAACACCATAACTCAACTGAGACAACACAGGAAGACCAACCAATGGATGCAACAGTTGCGATAAACTTCTTGCAATATAAACAAATGTATGATGGTTGCAGATGAAAGACTCATAAAATTAAACAATCTATCTATTTTTGTCTAAAAAACCTGAATAAAGAGCTGGTTTATCTGTTTCTCATTCCTATAGATAATTAGCATTTGAAATAAGCATTTTGCCGGGGGGCTCAGGGCTCTTGTCCACAATGGCAGAGTGTTCATAATGGTGAGTAGTCTACAGGGCAAGAGTCGACTGTTTAGTGACAAAACCATCAGCTGAACTTCTCTTCATTTTCATAGTACCAGTTTCATAGCAGTCTAAGAGTGTTATCTCTCAATCGAAACACACTTAAAACAATGACTCAAGTTCGTCTCTCTGTATTTGCCAGTCATAATTTGTGAGAATATCGACAAAATTTGTGCAAATCTTACATTGCACACACCTCACAGGTAGTTCAACAGCTTTCAATTTATTTATAGTCATCACCTCAGAGATTTAGTTGAGGGACCAATACTAGTGACAGAAACAACACCATCATGACTTCTGACACCAAGTCTAGGGGCCAATACTTGTGACAGAACTTCCTTTATTTGTGGTTAGTGCAATCAAAATGGCAGACTACAAGAACGTATCTCTGACTTATAATTGTGCAAGTAGCCACTAACCAACATCTCCTAACAAAAGAAAGAGACTAAAAACCCAAAACAAAAACCAACCTGGGACTATAACTTAAATACCCATAGCCTAGGATCATACAGAATGTATGCTACACTCGAATGACAACAATTGAACAATAGTAGAAATGCATGTTAACTGTTTGTATGTTCAGTGACTCTTAATCGATGCTTATAAATAAAAAAACAGCTTATGACTAGTTTGTGACATAGTATTTCAGTCTTTTGGGATTTTAAATTAGCCGTCCAGACTGGGTCTGCTTAACTTCTGTGTCAGTTCCCGGGGTTGTGGTGGTGTAATGTCTGGTGCTTGGTCTTCAGGGGGCTGAAGGGTCAACTAGTGTGGTATTTATGATTTGCAAACTGACTGGGGTCTGAGGAAAGGGGGGTCCCTAAAGTGGTAGACTGGGTTGGGCTGAAGGGTGTTGACTGGACTGTGGTTGCTCTGCAGTTTCCATTGACCGTTTCTGGTAAATGTTTGTGTTGTGTGTGCTTATTTCAACTTCTTGGGGATTGGTTCCAGGAAGATGGGTCTGCAGGCTTTAGTTGGACTCTGTTCCTTTGAATCATGCAGCCTTAAGCAGTGTTGGTTGATCACTTAGATCCATGGTTTCCCATGCTGGTGCAGAGGTGGTTTAGCATAAGCATAAGTACCAATGATGAGTGGTTCTTGTTCTACACTAGCTGACTTGTCGTAATGTGTTTTGCTATTGCACCTTTTCTTTGAGATCTCCTCCTCAACAATTATAGTTTAGTGTGGTGGGGGTCACGAGTTAATCTATGGTAGGGAGTGTGGTTCTGGCATGTTGTAGAAGCATGCCTAGGGCTGGCGAGTAAGTGTGACCTTGAGGTTGGTTGTTCCTGTATATCAGCATGGCACTGTGGAAGTCATCAGCTCTTTTTAACAAGGATTCTGCAACTTTAATGGCAGCTTCAGTTCTTCTGTTATCTTTAGAATGGCAGGGGGATGATGTGGAATGTTTAAACCTGTATTTAACAGAGAACTTCCTGTAATCTTCACTAAAAATATGTACCAGGTTCCCTTGGAAGTTTCATCTGGCTGTGTCTGAGGCCTGTCCAGTGGACATTTTCGTCAATTCTTATGGACGAGTTTGCGATTAATTTGTTTGTCTGCTTGGCGGACTCTATAGCTCTCGCCTCGGCGACTACATCGGAAAGGGAATTCTTAAAGTTGTCAGGTTTTATATGTGTTTTAAGCAACTCCGTACGTATGTTATCATCATTCAGCCCAAATATAAATTTTTCTCTACAACGTTCATCACTTAGATCGCCATAGCCACATAGGCTGCCAGCGTGTCTCACCTTAACTTTCCACTCTTGCATGGACTCGTGATGGGTTTGGGAGGTAGTTCAGAACTTGTATCGATCAGTCAGGAGAGAACTTCCTGTGCTGCCAGTGTAATAGGCTCGTATTTTATTCATCTAAACCAAGGGTTTCTTTTAATCTCCATCTGGAATTTGAGGTTCGATTGTGTATCTGACGACCGACAAGGCTTCATCTGGAAGTGCAGAGCGTAAAGCTGAAATTTCTCTCAGAGGACTTTTGTAATGAGCGGCTCTTAAGAGGATCTTTAGCGAGTTCGCGGTAGTTAGCTTGTATGCAGTAATCGTTGAATCGTGACTCGAAGTTATTGACATTTTAACTCACATTTCCCACAAGTTCGAGTTCCGTTCGCCATCGTGTTGTCACACATCTGACGCCAAAACTCGTGACATCATAGCGGACTCTGTATGATCGTGCGAGTAGCCGCTGACCAACAAGATGGCCCGTCAAAAAGTTGACAGAACCGCCGTCAGCGATTTCAAAACTATGTCAAGTGAATTCGTTGTTCCCTTACACAGGTATGAAATTAAATTCAGTCGAGCTACCGAAATTATCCATAGTGTTTAATCAACCTTAAAGGGATCAGAGAACATTGAGACGCAGAGAAGTTATCAGCGATCAGTTTCCTCCGTGGCCGTGAGATAAAATTAAAAAAAAGAAAACGTGATTATCTGATCACCTGGCATCCAGTATCAAACCTGGTTCACATGACACCACGCTGAAGATGGTACAGGACGGTAATGGCAGTTTGTGCAGAAAATATATTTTAGGCAAAGTTTAGAAGGGGAGTTAGGTTGGTTATTTTGTCGTGACGCCACCATCAAGGTAAATTAAAGATTCCTAGACGAAAAGTTGGAAATTAGATGCGCTATACTCACACTTTAAGGATAGCGGCGATTTCAAAAGTTTTTGGACCATAGCTTGGCACTCTTCGGAGACGTCTGAGAAATTAAATTTCGGGAGTGGAAATGGGAAAGGAAAGCCAAACTGCTGAGCGATGTGACTGTTGCCTTCCCAAACAGATCCAGGAGATGAAGATGAACATCTCTGAAGCACAGAAAAGGCGACGAACACGGCAAAGGATTTAACAGCTGTCTTCGTTGTTGAACAACCCACCATGATGAAGTCGCACAACAAGCTGTAAGACATGTGAAGTAATGCTGATGAGAAAGCCGTATAACATTCAATAATTGGCAGAGAGATACTGGAAACGAAAGCTATTCTTAGAGATTGGGAGTAGGCTCTATGTGAGCAACGCGAATCAGTGAAAGGTTTGTAAGGATACCTCGTATTCTCGTTCCAAATTGACTAAGGATGAAAGTATAAGTAGCTTATAGAGTGCTCTGGAACAACATTTGATGTTGCAGTCTGATTGTCCGGGTAAGAGTAGTTCTGAGAAGGACTGTTGTCCGTAATAGTAGCTGTCGTTTTGTTAACCTATGCAGAAATCATCATCAGTGTCAAGTCTCGACACCGATAAATTACAGAGTCAAGCCAAAAACATAATTATGCCCGCGAACGTAAACTCTATTGTTTTATTGCACGCTCTCCAGATGTGAGTTTTCTAGGACGGATAAACAAAAAGCCGTTGCTTTTCCAGTCCCGACTACGGTAAAATATGGCCAATCCATAGAAAACGAGTATTTCCGAGAAAGGGGGTCAAATTCTGTTACTTTGCGTTTTTGTGCTGCACGTTGTTTCCAGTCCCAGTCTCTCTCCGACCATGTGTTTTCTGCTGCATCATCAATAGTACGGCATTTCTTAGCCGGCGTTTACAAGATGGTAGGAATTTCACCAACAAAGACAGCAATGGAATTCATTGCTATCTTCTTCGCTTTTGCTTTGCTCAACACATGTTCCTGTGCATCCCCTGGATTTGTTCTGGAAAACTACAGCCAGCTCGCACAGAAGTTCGGCTTTCCATCGCTGCCTCCTCTCCCTATAAAGTTTAACTTCTCAGACATCTCCAAAGAGTGCCAGGATACTGTTGCAAACCTTTTACAATTACCAGTTGCTTATTCCTGTGAGTATATCAAAAGTAGATTCGTACTTTATACGCACGTCTGTGACAACGTTGTCACGAGGGAATGACCCTACCAGCCCATCGTAATATTTGCATTAGAAACCGGCGGAACGCTTCTCCATATGTATTTGGTCATGTACTATGCGCGTGATATATCTCGTGATTAAAAGATGTCGATTTTATTTTTTGACACTAAATTAATGCCAGCTTGATGTTCTTACCTTAGCCTGATCATGCAGGTATGCTGACGCCCTTCTTTGTCCCTTGTTTAGTTCATAAATTTAATTTTCGTTCACTTTGCTGGTTGATAGCCGAACTCTAGATTGGTAACTTGATCAAAGCTTCTTGCAAACGCACTACATCCCTTAAATTCGCTTCATCAATGCATGAAAAATTTCAATCTGTTTAGGTGAATGAAGTGGTCACCCTTTATTAGGCGGTCACCCGGTGATTTTCCGTAGATCGCTTCCATTGACGACCTTTATGAAACGGTCTGCATCTAATTATTATGTCACCCCGCTCATGATCATGCAGGTCTCGCTCTCGTTTGGCAGATCGCCTGCGTGTCAATACACGGAATGCAGTCGATTCGCTCGATTTCATTCGATGTTTTCAAAGGTTTTGACCATCGAGGCGAGAAGAGAAGACGTTTAATTTATTTCGAGACGACATCTAAATAACCGGCAGATGTGCGTCGATCATCTTAGTTATTCTCAGGTCATATTGGTTGCGCTCCACTGCAGACCACTTAAGATGAAGGAAAATTGATTGATATTTACAAATGGTGGTCTCTTTTCTTGAGATGTGGATGCGATCGGCAAACCTCAAAGTGGACTTTTTCTGGGGAACACCGGTTGGTTAGGATCTTACAGTGAGTGTACTGAAACCATACCTGATGCTCATTATTGTTTGGCCTATCTGTCTTTTACACAGCCTCCTTTAAATATTACCAAGGTGAGTGCATATTGCAGCTTTTAGTAAACTTTTACAGAATTGTCAATTTTTGCTTCATTCTACGAATGTGATATTGTACAAACCTTTTTTGAGTGAAGTGTCATTTTTAATTCCACAGCCTAATTTCTCTTACATCTGATTTCCTTGAGTATCAAAAATATGCTGTAAGTTTCAGGGCTTCAAGCCTAACTTTTAAAGGTTACTCTTTAGGAACTCAAAAAGAAACAAAATTTTATCAGCATGATAATATCTGAATTTGGTGGACCTATCACTGGGAGCTTCTGCCAAAGAAAAAATATGCAAACTTAAATTTTGTAAGGGAACCATGGTCTTCTAACCATATGTTATTGTTAGTTGTTTCCTGTCCGCTGGGGAATTTGTGCACCCAAACAATGCAGTGAAGAGGATGTAACCAGAGGTCTGCAAGATGTATTTACAGGTGTGTACACAGCCAATGAAAATATGTTATTTCCTGGGCTGGAGGTCTGCATGGGAAAAACTGTGCCCAAAGTCTTGGATACCATCTAAGGTAAAGGGTTGTCCTTGTAGGGGATAACCCTGTGCCTTAGGCAGTATCCACATAAGGGACATTTTTTTTAACCACAGGGGACTACCCTGGATGGGTAAATAACATAGTTATTTTTTTCTGCTGGTTTGCTTTTTTGAGCTTAATTTTAGCTATAAATGGTGCTAAAAAAATTCTTTCTTGAAGTCTGTATTGTGTAAAAGCTATTGGACCAGTTACAAATTTGCAATTAGCCAATTAGATTCAAAGATTTAAGATTCCAACCAGCTGGATTACTCTGAGAAAAAGGAAAGAAAAACATTTTGAAGAAAAAAAATTGGCATTACTTGCTGAACTCAACAAATCTAGCAGGTAATTTAGTGTTAACAACTGGGTTGAAAACATAAATTAGCCACCATAAAGGGTAAAAAAGCTGACATTTCGAGCGTTAGCCCTTCATCAGAGTGATTCACCATCAGAGTGATTCATTTATGGTGGCTAATTTACGTTTTCAACCCAGTTGTTAACACTAAATTACCTGCTATACTCTCCCACCGACGCAGCACCACAGTTTCTTTAGAAACTTACCCCTCAACAAATCTAGTTTGTTGGAAAATGAGCTCATGCTTAATATATTTGTCAGTAAGTAATTATAAGACACTGGGTCATCACAAAGTTCACAATATATTTTTTGTTGTAACCTCTTAGGGATTAATAATTATGCAAATAAAACAGAAGTGGTGTTGAGGCCAGGAGCACAGCCATTGCCAGGACAAGATGCAAATGGAAAATCTGTTTACTGTAGCAAAAAATCAGAATACACAACAGGAGCAATACTCACTTTGTAAGTGCATTAATATGATGCAGTTTAGTCAGGCAATGAGACAGTGAGACAGGTCTTTCATTTACTCACTTTTGCAACTTCACACACTCCCCCCCCTCCTCTACCTACTCCCAGCATTTTGTTAAGCCTGGAGATATGTGTGTTGTGATTGGTATTATTAGAATACATGTATTAATGTGCACAAAGTTTTCTGTTCTGTCTTCCCCCCTTTGGTTGTTAAAATGTCACTTTTGCCGGAGAGCATTTTGTAATAAAAGGATAGAATGAAATGCCAAAAACAAAACATTTTTCAGAATTGCCTAATGGCAACTTTGAAAAGTATTTAGTTCGGTGCCCTGAAATTCCACCCTGAGGAGTTCAGTTTGACATTATCTACTTGTCCCGATTACTTTCTGTGTCCATATTCAAAGGGTTCAAAATCCTTTTGCATACATGTTCATTAGCAAAATTTGCTCATCTTGACTTTAGTTGGTAGTCATTAAAGAGATTATTATTTGCACCTCACCTTCACAGGATTTTGTGTGGATTAATCCTGTTCCTCTGCCTCTTTGGCACAATTCTTGACATTGTAATTAGTTTCATGAAGAGGCCATCTGTACCTGTCAGCAAAACTAGTGGCTTCATGCCAATCAGAGATGATTCTTTACCAATACTTCAAGGCCAGGGGTCTGATTCATTTGCACAAAGTCACCAAAGCAGTGTTCACCCACCTTCTGATGAGATAATTGGTTCATCCACCAGATTGACAAGCTTCCCTTATCAGAAAAATGAGCCTAGTAAGTTTAAAGATTATTACAATTGTGCTGATGTGTTGTCATCACATGTAATAGCCCAGTACAATAACTTTCTTATTGGTAAAGAAGATAATTAAATTTTGAAGAAACAGGAAGAGGAAAAAGAGGAAGAAGAAGACAAAGATCATTGTGATCAAAATTAAAGAATTGGGCCAGTCATGTGTCTGGGAAACAGCAGTTTTGGCCTTAACCCTTTAACTCTCATGAGTGACCAAGACAGAATTTCTCCTTACAATATCAATACAATATCAAGCAGACAAGTGATGAGAAAAAAGAAAAATATCAATTAGGGGATTAGTAGTTGATTCAATGCCAAATTCTCCAAACTAACATCACAAGAACCATATGGCAGACAGTAAGGAGAATTACTAATAAGATCTAGGGAGTTAAAGGGTTAAAAAACATGGATTTCCTTTTTTTTTCACAAATTTAGTGGATGCACCATGCAATTCGTAAAGAATAAATGAGTTGCGGTTTAAAGCTACAAATTTTTGCATTTTTATGAGAATTTAGGATTCAGTGCACGTTACTTTTCTTTGGTCAGCCTTGGTAGATTGTTTTGCCATTAACTAGTTAGTTTTTATGTTTTTGAGCATAATTAGTGAAAACATCCTATTTACAACATTTTGTAATCCCTATTCACCCTTCTTTTTATAATTGGCCAATCAAAACTTAAGGGTAGTGTGGTTGCATGTCCTAAGATTTATTATAGAAGAATATGCCAATCTTTTGGAGGAGAACAGTTGTCAGTGACGGCACAACCGATGTCTCAACAAAGCCAACACAGAACTTATTGTAAGGGTGGGGTAATTGTATGTTATATACCCTTAAATTGCTGACCTAGTTTGTCACAAATTTTCCAAAATTTCTTGTAGATGTGATTGTGCAGTTTTTCCTGTGTTTCTCATTAATTCAAAACACAAGCCGTATTATGGACACCAAAGTCCCTGCCAGTGCTGTTACGTCAATCAATGGAATGAGAGTGATGAGTATGTGGTGGGTGATCCTGGGACATGTGTATGCTTTCCA